TTCTTACTGTTCCCCCCCCCCCAACCCGCCGTGAACCCTGTTCATTAAGTTGTTATAGACATATCAAAATGAAATTGATACACAGATGTTACATTGTTTGAGTGCAAGATTAGGTTAATAAATTCTGGTTCAGATAGTTACATTTACCTGAGTTGATACAAGACTTTCATACCTAATTTCTGGAGAAGTGCAGAAGCTGTTTAGCATGTATGCACTAGCATTCTTAAATGTGCACATGATTACTGGAATTGTATATAGAGCTGATGTGAAGAACCAGTTGTTCAAGTGGTTATAGCTGTGGGAACAATAAATAATTGTGCATATAAACAAGCTGCACAAATGTTCACGTAGATACCTGGGGTTTTTAACTGCTTACAGTGTTATTGCTCTAACAGCTAGATGAGCAAGAGGACTCGAGCATTACCTTGCTGAAGTCTGACTCTAGGCACTTGAATCCAGGAGTGTGAGGAATATTATCTTAAAAATGCTATAACAATCTGTAATCTATAGGTATCTTTTATGTGTTTATTTATTGAACTGCTTGTATTTTTCCTTCTGTTTGTGTTCAGAAGTGCCTTGGCCTTTTTAATGCTGAAGAGTTAGGTGCATACCTTGCACTGAAACCTGAACTTTCACTAGGTGATTCTGGTAAACTTGCTGAGAGCCAGCCAGATTATATATATCATACTTCTGGGGAAAAAAAAAATCTTTCTCCATATAAAAGAGATGCCACTCTGTTAAACCTAGTCGTTAAGCTGTGACCAGGCTTGTTTTTCAAGGAACTGAGATGTCAAAAAAAAAATCTGACCTGCGCAATGGAGAAGGTTGCAGAGACCCCACAAAGCAGTATGTCTCTAGAACTGGAAGCATGACAGCCTTCCTCAAGGTGATGCTATATGTGAACTTGTCTCCTAGTCTGAAGTTAGTGGTATGTCAGTGTTACCATTCTGATCTGAGGACCTGAGGTATTCTGCAGTGTTTTGTGTCTTGAAGGTGGATCTTGCACAGTAAGGGCATACCATAAAAATTTGTTACTTAGTGGGCAGTGGTTTACAAGTGTCTTCATAGCATAAGGCCATAGTTAAACAGGAATGTTTTAATTTTTCAGTGAAAGGTTTTAATCGTTATCATGAGTGGTTTGAGGGAAAATGTGTCTGTAAGTAAGAGAAAATTTGAATTCATGTGAGTTTAAAATCTGTTAGGAAGCTTGCCTGCAGCTTTTTCTGCTTTGGGAAAGATGTAAGACAGTGTGTGTACCCAGATTATTCTCATGCATCTCAGTGTAGATGATGTAGAGCTTCTGCATCAATTCTTTTGCATTTTTCATTGAACCAATTGCTTGATTTATACAGTTAAAGGCATGCTGTAAATTGTCTTCTTGTTGCAGTTTTCTGCTTTCAGAGCTTATCTGGGTGTGGTCTAGTATGAATTTCTCAGCTGGTATCTGACAATCTGGTTTGTGGAATCAGTTTTGCAAGAATGATGTTGTAAGCAGCCATGCACCCCTAGTGCTCCGTAGTTGTGTGCTTCTCAACCACAGAGATACGTTGCTTGCCTTTTACAGGCACAAAAGCTGAAGCATGGAGGTCCCTCAACAGCTCAATGCTGGAATCTCAGTGTCAGCATAGTAGCCACTGCATCTTACCACATATAGTCTGTGTACATTTATTAGCCAAAGATAGTACGATGCTTCTCACTATTTTCGTTCTGTAGGACAGATTCCAAGTTTTCTATCTCAAGGAAGACTGACTAATAATGTTCAGTGAACATTGTGCTCAGTGAAATGAGAGTCATGCTACAAATCCTGTCTGTAAGGAAGATCACTGTGGCTGTGGGAAGTCCATCGGATGACTTAAAAAATATTCTTATTTGTCTAAATCTGTTTCTGCACCAGATTGCTTTGTTTTGCCACAGCAGTTTCTTTTTTTGCAACTAGTTGTGTTTTTACTGATGAATAAGACTACCACCTTGCCTTACATGTTTTTCAAATATTTCTCTGAAGTTAAAAAAAAGTTGAAAAATGAAAACATCTAAACATCTTTGCCATACCATATTCTGATGCAATGACCTAACTGAATTTAGTATGTATCTTTTTAAGAAGCGAAAACATCTGAAGAGGTAAATGCTGAAATTCTAACTGTAAGAAGTAATTTGGGGAGGAGAAGGTAAGGTTCTCACGTACCTGAAAATGTAATTGCAGTGTTTCCTCACTGTAATGGTGTATTGCTGCATCCACCCTTCTCTTTGTAAAAGATGAGTCGTTTCAAGTTGGACATTGTTCTAGCCAGCAATTACATCTGAAAGAGGCAAAAATGGTAATTTATCTGAACCACATAGGTCAACCATAAAGCAGATTAACCTAATGGCTTTGTTGCTGCTGTGTTAGAAAGTAAGCTGTTGGTCTTTCTGGAAGAATTCTATCTGCAGTATTTTAGAATGAGATCCAGAATAGAAGCTCTGAAATCAATATTAAGACACTTACAAACCACAACTATTATAATTTGATTTGATACTTCTTTTAAACTGCCTCAGAAATGGAAAAGGATTTTGCAATTAGGCAATAATACGACAAACAAATTGGCCTCCTCCCATAACTTTTACCAGAAATGGCTAATTTATCTGTAAATGATGTAGGTCATGCATTCTCTTTACATTATTGGGACATACAGACTTTTTCTGTGCATTTGCTGTAAATATAAGAACAGTCAGTTCAGAGAAAAGAGAGAGCATGTTGATTTAGTTGATACTCCTAGTCACTTGATTCTTGCGTACCTTTAATAAATTATATGTAGTCTTTATTGACTTCTATAGGATGGTGAATTAAAGTGTATTCTAGCATGTGATCTCTATTTGTAAAATGAAGTTCATAATGGTCACATAGTTAGTAACTGGCCAAATATTTGGGGCAAAATACAGCAGACTTTCTTGTGTTAGACTTGAAGTATAATGCTCCAGTGATCCTCTTTTTTGTTTTGGTTTGGGTGTTTTGGGGGTTTTTTTGGTTCTTGTTTTTTTGGGTTGGTTTTTTTTTTGACAGTGCTTCAGAAGATGTATGCTTGGTGTATATCACAGTTCACTTTTACTTCTTCCAAACAGCATTGTGGTATTAATTTGGGCCAGTTATCATTCTTGGTCAATACTGATTATACTGTGTCATGCACAAATGAGTCTTTCTGAGCAGTTTCTAACAGAAGAAATTTAACTTCTGTGGACCTTGCAGCTTAGTGTAGTTTTCATTTGCATGGTTAAAAATTAAGTTGACACTTCTGTCCATTGTTTTCTGTGATCACATAATACTCTATACCCAGTCCTTTTCTATTCGTTGTATGTGTACAGGCTATCTATGTTAATATTCCTTGGTTTTGTTGGTGTTCAGTTCTGTTAGAAATGCTCTTTGCTCTGTATGGTTTGATTTTCTTCAAGTATATACTCCTTTTTAACATCAAAAATATTTTGTTAAATAGTTGGAGTTTATTTTAGTGATGCTGGTAATTATTGCTTTATGATTAGTTCTGGTACTGCATGAAATATGAGGGAGGAAGTAGATTCGATATATTTGTATTCTAAAATATTTTGGAAAGAAAATGACTTACAAAGCAATATTAGGAAATAAAGTGCAGAAAGTTTTTTAGAGAGTAGGTATCAGTTCAAAGAATCTCTGCAAGCCAAATTTTTAAGATTTTGTATTCCTTATTTGTTTACTTTTCTAGTGATACTAGGGAATGTTTTGTTGCAGCAGCACAGTGAGATGTCAATGTTTGTGTTAGCAAAGATCATGTAAATGTGGTATGAGCTAAGGTACACTAAGCTGGGACTGCTCTGACTGCGATGGTGGGATAGTTCAAGAAGCTGTATGTTTGAGTGAAGAGGGGTTTTTTTAATACATATTTTATTATTCTGAAGATGTTAGTTCCTTTCTCCCCAACGATTTAATTCTGAAAGAGTTGAGTACTATTTGCTGCTTGGTTTCTATTCGGGTTACATAGGGTAACTCCCTTCCTTTCTCTCCCATTGTGGTTAACGGTACATACTGCTTTGGTACAGTTAGAAAGTTTCTGTGCAGTTTTGCTACTGTTCTGTCATGTGGAAACGCATCTGGCCATATCACTTAGTAAAATCTTCTTTTAAAATATTTTGCAACACAAAAATTACTCTTCCGATGAAAAGTTTTGCAGTTAAAAATATATATATATGTTCCTATATCTATCTCTTTGCTTTTTGATAAGTATGTATATCTTCTGTAAATGGAATTGGCTTCTTCAGGTCAAAGTAATGTGCTAAAATTCCAATTTAACATAGAAAATGGAGTACAGATATATGTTTTGAGAAACAATGGGGAAAATACTGCAGTACTTTTTAAAAATCAATTTAATACTAGTGCTGTGAAATCTGAAGCATTGAAAAGATCTGAATCCTGCAACAGCTAAGTTCTTCCTGGTATCCTTTATCCTCCTATAGTCTGGAATAAATGGTGTGTATTTGAGCAATGCCCACTCATTTATTAGTGGGGTCTACTCTTATTAGTATTACGGCACTTGAAAAGAGAAAGAGAATATTTATGTACAACTTAATTATCCAAAAATATGTTTAAGAACTTTGTTCTATGTATTTCATTACTCAACTTTAACGTCTCCCATTCTTCACCATGGTTGAGAGATAGTTCTCAAATGTTTTTTGGTTTCTGTCTTTGATGTTTCAGTTTTGTTTGTAATTTTCAGAATACCTAGATATTTGCCTTGTCTCTGCAGAGACATTCTGTATGCACAGCCAAAATGTGAAATATTTGTCTTGCAAAAGACTTTCTGCATTTTTTAGTTTTTCATATAAAAGTTCTTCTATATCAAGTTTGTTTGGATTTCCTTGTAGATGGATTTGTTTCTAGGCATGAAAAGCAGTCTGACAGATCTGTGCAGAAGTGACCTAATTTTATACTGTAATGTTATGTTTAATTTTATTCTGACACAGTATTGTATTTTACATTACTCATATTTTTCTTCTAGGCAAACGGAGTGGGCGTAGTAAAAAATGGAAAGAGATGCTGAAGTTGCCACCTGTTAGTCATTGTGAAGGTATTAGATGCTCAATCGGTAGGTGTCCTGTAGAATGGTCTGTCTGATTTTTTTGAGAAAGAAGGGTAAGAGTTTGGTGGTGTTATCTGAAAGGATTCTGTCTTGCTTCTGAATGCTAATTAGCAAAAAAAAGCTATTAAAACTTTTAATGTGATGGAGAAGATAAATTTATAAGAAGATAAAAGCTCTATCACAGCTCCTTGTTTGTTAGAGGAAACTGCTCCTAAAGGATAAATCTACAAAGCCATGAATTAGAAAAAGGAATCATGTTGTGATTTGAATGACGTGGTAATATGTTTCACTTTCTTTCTTAATGTCTTGAAATTTTTTTTTAACCTTTTCTGTTATTATCTTGTATTACTCCTTTCCAAACAATCTTGTTTGCTTTGGGATTGCTGTTTCACAGTGTTGTTGCTTTCCACCCCCCAGCCTAAATGAAACTTAACCATACCATTCAATGTGTTTTTAATAAATGTGATAGGCTATAAGAGACAAATGTGGCTGGGAGTGAGTGTTTCATTATTCTTTGGGATCATTGCATGTTTTTGATGTCTTGGCTAAATATGTTAATGTAAAATCTTCACATTTTAGTGATGTTTTTCTGACCTATTTTCAAATGGGAGTAAGGACCATGCTATGACAAAGCTAAAAATAAATAAATATATTTACTTACTATTTCTTTCTCAGAAAGAGACTATAACCAGCTTTGTGACAAACAGCCAATAGGAAGACTTCTCTTCAGACAGTTCTGTGATTCCAGACCAGATTTGAAAAGGTGCATTGAATTTCTGGATGCAGTGGTAAGCAGTGAGAAACTGGAGATGTGTATCAGTAGGCAATAGCTCATACATCTTTGTTTGTAAAAAGTTTGATTTTTGTGCTGGTTTTGGCTGGGATAGAGTTAATTTTCTTCATTGTAGCTCATGCTGTGCTATGTTTTGGATTTTTTACCAAAACAGTGTTGATAACAAGGATGTTTTAGTTATTGCTGAACAGTGATTACACAGCATCAAGGCCTTCTATTTTTCTCACACTGCCCCACCAGTGAGTCAGCTGGGGGTGCACAAGAAGCTGGGAGGTGACACAGCTGGGACAGCTGACCCCAACAGACCAAAGGGATATTCCAGACCATACGATGTCACGATCAGCAATAAAACCTGGGGGAAAGAAGCAGGAAGGGCTGAAGTTAATTACGGTGTTTGTCTTGCCAAGTAGCCGTTATGCATGATGATGAAGCCCTGCTTTCCTGGAAATGGTTAAATATCTGCCTGCCAGTGGGAATCATAGAATGATTTGGGTTGGAAGGGATCTTAAAGATCATCTAGTTCCAACCCCCGTGCCATGGGCAGGGACACCTTCCACTAGACCAGGTTGCTCAAAGCCCCATCAAACCTGGCCTAGAACAATTCCAGGGAGGGGGCATGCACAACCTCTCTAGGCAACCTGTTCCAGTGCCTCACCACCTTCAGAGTAAAGAACTTCTTCCTTGCATCTAATTAAATCTACCCTCTTTCAGTTTAAAGCCATTACCCCTTGTCCTATCACTACATGCCCTTGTAAAAAGTCCCTCTCCAGCTTTCTTGTAGGTCCCCTTTAGGTACTGGAAGGCTGGTGCAAGGTCTCCCCAGAGCCTTCTCTTCTCCAGGCTAAAAAAACCCAACTCTCTCAGCCTGTCTTCATAGGAGAGGTGCTCCAGCCCTCTGAGCATCTTCGTGGCCCTCCTCTGGACTCATTCCAACAGGTCCAAGTCTTTCTTCTGCTGGGGGCCCCAGAGCTGAATGCAGTACTCCAGGTCTCACAAGAGCAGAGTAGAGGGGCAGGATCACATCCCTTGACCTGCTGGTGACACTTCTTTTGATGCAGCCCAAGATATGGTTGGCTTTCTGGGCTGCAGGCGCACATTGCTGGGTCACGTTGAGCTTCTCATCAACCAACACCCCCAAGTCCTTCTCCACAGGGCTGCTCTCAATCCACTCATCAGCGAGCCTGGTTTTGTGCTTGGGATTGCCCCTACCCATGTGCAGGACCTTGCACTTGGCCTTTTTGAACTTCATGAGTTTTTGTATGGGCCCACCTCTCAAGCCTGTCAAGGTCCCTCTGGATGGCATCCCTTCCCTCCAGCATGTCGACTGCACCACACAGCTTGGTGTCATTGGCAATCTTGCTGAGGGTGCACTCAATCCCACAGTCCATGTCGTCAACAAAGGTGTTAAATAATGCTGGTTCCAGTAAGGACCCCTAAGGGACACCACTCGTCACTGGTCTCCATGCAGACACTGAGCTGTTGACTGCAACTCTTTGAGTGTGACCACCCAGACAATTCCTTATCCACCGAGTGGTCCATCCATCAAATCTATGTCTCTCCAGTATAGAGACAAGCATGTCGTGTGGGACAGTGTCAAATGCTTTGCACAAGTCCAAGTAGATGATGTCAGTTGCTCTTCCCTTATCCACCAACACTGTAACCCCGTCGTAGAAGGCCACCAGATTTATCAGGCACAGTTTGCCCTTAGTGAAGCCCTGGTGGCTGTCACCAGTCACCTCTTTGTTTTCCATGTGTCTTAGCATAGTTTCCAGGAGGATCTGCTCCATGATCTTGCTGGGCACAGAAGTGAGACTGACTGGCCTGTATTTCCCTAGGTCTTCCTTTTTTCCCTTTTAAAAATGGGGGTTATTTCTCCCCTTTTCCAGTCACTGGGAACTTTACCAGACTGCTACGACTTTTCAAATGTGATGGAGAGTGCCTTAGCCACTTAATCTGTCAGTTCCCTCAGGACCCACGGTTGCATCTTATCAAGTCCCATGGACTTGGGCACCTTCAGGGTCCTCAGACGGTCTTGAAGCTGATCTCCTGTGGTGGGCAGTACTTCATTCTCCAAGTCCCTGCCTTTGCCTTCTGTGACTTGGGCGGTGTGGCTGGAGCATTGGCTGGTGAAGACTGAGGGAAAAAATTCATTGAGTACCTCAGCCTTTTCCATATCCCGGGTCACCAGGTCTCCTGTTTCCTTCAGAGAAGGCCCACATTTTCCCTAGTCTTCCTTTTATCACCAATGTACCTATAGAAGCTTTTCTTGTTGCCCTTGACATCCCCAGCCAGATTTAATTCTATCAGGGCTTTAGCTTCCTAACCTGATCCCTGGCTGCTCGGACAATTTCTGTCTAATCCTCTGACGCTACCTGTCCTTGCTTCCACCCTCTGTAGGCTTCCTTTTTGTGTTTGAGTTTCTCCAGGAGCATCTTGTTCATCCATGCAGGCCCCCTGGCATTTTTGCCAGGGGGAAGCGAATGAATTCCTTGCTTTGCTTTGCTTGTGTGTGCAGCTTTGCTTTATCTATTAAACTGTCTTTATCTCAAACCACAAGTTTTCTCTCTTCTACCCTTCTGATTATCACTGGGGGGGGAGTTAAAAACTTGCATGGAAGCCCTAGGCTAGACAGAATGTGCTAATTAAAAAAAGTACAATGGAGATGGAAAATTAGGGAACCATCTATGGAAGGAGAGAAACCAGATTTTAGAGACTAAGGGGAAAGGAAGATTTTTGTCTTGATACATTTGCATCTTGGTATCTAACGCTAAAGAATGAGGAGAGGAAGGAAGTGTGCCCACAGCCATGTTTTGTAAAAAAATTCTCAGACAAAACCCTCATGGGGAGGGGGAAAGTAATGAGAAGAGTAGACAGGCACACAGCAGTCCTCAAGAGGAGATAATAATAGCTCAGAGCTTTTTATTCTTTGTCCCGCATAGTTAATCCAAGCACAGTAATATATAGACTTAAACTGAGATTGCTGCCAAAAGAACAGTTTTTCTCATCCCACAAATTTTTGTTCTTAAAATCAGGGAACAAATGACCAAAGAAGATAGAAGTAGGGTAGTGCTGCTGTTTACATGTGTCCGAAATATCAGAGCAAGATGGCTCTGAATGGTGCAGGATGTAAGGAAATACATGGGATTATTGTTGTGCCCCTACTTCACCGTATCTTCCTTCCCCCTATGGGAGTATAAACTGAGGCACGTGATCAGCTAAAAAGGAGCTTTAGTGTCAAGTAAGTAGAATTGCTTTATATTTGTCACTGAATCTTTGTGCAATTAGGCTTACTCCCCAGGTGCATTTCACTATACTTTTGTGACTCTTAGGAGCTGTTCTAGCACCAAATTCCAGAGACCAGTTTGACAGTTGGACAGCTAGAATGGATTGAATGGAAGTCCAGAACAGCGGAGCTAAATATCCTGAAGTGAATGTAAAATAGAGCCTTTAGTGAGAATTGCACAGTGGGGAGACCACTGAGAATTGTGGATGTACACTTAATGGTTACAACTTCTGTACACATTTTTAATCCTTAAAAGCTTAGCCAATGAGTAGCAGAATCTTTGGCAGCACAAGGAGAAAAAAATCTTAAGCATGACTGTAAGGCAGGCGTAACTTTTCTCCACAGACATCATTTTTCAGGTGAAATTGTCACTGAGAAGTAGCTGTGTTTTACACTAACTGAAAACTTTGAATTGCTTTGAAATACGCAACCTATAATGTTATGTGGATTGCAACACTTCTGTGAATTATTGAAGACTGTCATAGTTGAGATAATCTGATGTAAGGGATGATTTCACAATTTACTTTTTTTTATTTTTTAACTTCCAAAAAATCATGGTGAAGAAGTATTCTTGGGAATCACTGAAACAGAAGTCTCATAAGAGCTAAGATAATCTCTAATTGGTGGCTCTCATGACCTGAAAGCTAGCATGCTGTCTTGATCAAGGAAGTGGGATAAAATACCTACTATCTCTTACAGATGGTTCCTGACTTAGTCTGATTCCCTTTTCTGGTCTGGACTTCAGCAAGCTTGTTCAAGCTTTTTTTTGGAGGGAGGCGGGGTGGGGAGTGGGGTTGAGGGTCTTTTTGTTGGTTTTGTTTGTAAGGCAGTAATGCGAAGGGAGAGGCTAAGGTTGTGGGGATTTTACCTTAGGTTTTGCCAATTTTTAATTTTTTTTTATTTTAAATCAATTTTAGACTTAATCTTTCTGAAAATAAACTTTCTGGCATAAAATGGCATAGTCTTAAGAGCCTTGCATCTCTATTAAAAGAGTTTTCTGACTCTCCTCTATGGAGCAATGCGATTTCAGCAACGTGATTATTTCAGGAGGCCAAAATGGCAAAACCAAGGTAGTACAACGCTATGTTGTCTACCTGTACTGAATACTAAGACTGGTAAGCTTTAACTCTTGAGAATGTGTGACCTTAACGTATGGCATCAGCTTGGCTTTACAGAAAGAATTATGAAATAATTGAATAAAAGTGACAGAAATTGAAGTGAGGAATTACAGTTATCCAATCATCTAGTGACTCATTTCACTAGCTGGGGACAAGGTTACTCAAGTATGAAAATGAATGGGTCACAGCTCAAACTTCCCTCTTAAGCTCTGTGAGTAACACAAATTAGTTGACAAGGCTGTCTCTTAAACTTCCTTTTCAATCACAGTATCTGCTTAAAACTGTATGCCTAACTGTTTGTATTAAATTAGTGACTACTTTGGCATAACTGAAAATGTTAGAGGTGATTAGTGCACTGCTGTGGTTGATTAACTTTTCAGACCTGCTTAGGTTGTTTGGTAGTTGCAGAAGAATTCCTTACCATTAGACTGATTGTTGTGGAATTAAAGTAGCAAAAACAATGGCTTGCAATTGTTAATGGATTTGAGTACTGTGCTGAAGTGGTTGATACCATAATGTCTCAGCAGAAAAAGATGTTGATGACTTAGTAGTGACTCAGTGTGGGTTAGCTGCAATTGACTGCAGAACTGGAGTTCAGGAATTCTGTTATTTCCAGTATTGTGTGTGTGTTGGGTTCTTGAACTGTCATTTTTCAGTGTGCTAGTTTTCTTTATAAAGGTACATAACTTCTCTTCTGATTAGATCAATCACTTGGAATTTCCTATGAGGTTCTTAATGATTATTGTCCCAATACGCCAAACTGTTGTTTTGTATGATACAGTCCTCCATTCTGGAGGTCTGCTGTATATTCTTTGTTCCTAGGTGCACGCATTTACATTCTGATATATGAAATAAGCTTTGACTGAGTTGGCCCAGCTTACGAAGTGAATACTGGTTGCTATTTGAGATAACACTTTTCTAATTCAACTTTCCCCAGATTCTGTGTTATCTTTAAATGTTGTAACTTCTGATGTCTGCTTTTAGATTATTGCTTAAAATTATTAATAGTAAGTAGTCCTTGGAGTTTTTCCAATACTAGTATCTGTTTGATGGTTTGGTTTCTTTTTTCCGCAAATAGCTACCTCTGGAGCTCTAAGCTGCCGGTTGTTTATCTGCAAAAAGCACTGTATTGCACAATGGTCTTTTTTCTGCATCACAGTACCATATATTACTAAGTCAAAAACCATGAAATTTTTCGTGTACTCAGTTTTACTTTCTCAAAGAATGAAGTAGGGTATGGTTTAGATCTCACTTATTTCCAGTTAACATGACCTTGTAGAAAGTAGTGGGTTTATCCCTTGTAGTAAGTAGAAAAAAAGTAGTTTTACCCAAGACTGTAGTAAAGAAAAATACATGAAAAAAATAATACAGTGAAAAAAGGCTGATTATTGTACTCTTAATTATTTCCCATCTGGATCATTCTGTCCTACAATACTACATAAATACTATTTCATTGTAATTGATCTAATTTAACCTCTAGGATGCAGTTTCTGTAATTGCATAACTGTTAGTTTTCATATGTTTTCAAAAGTTAAATACCATGTGGGTTTTTTTCTGAAGACTGTTCTTCATACATGTTTCACTGTGTAGCCTAAAAATCTTTAGATTTTAAACAGTGAGAGCCTGCAGTTCCTTTTATATTAGGAGTATTGTGTTATTCATGACAAAATTTACCTAGCATCATGTAAAAAAACTGTGGTGCCAAATTGCTCTGAACATAATTTAATTTTCAATTCCATTCCTCTAGGCAGAATATGAGGTATCTTCAGATGAAAAGCGTATAGACTGTGGCCTGAAAGTTTTAGAGACATACTTCACTAATGGGGTAAATATATTGCAAAATATTGTCTCAAGTGTTTTGTAAATGTCAGATAAATAGATATCTAAGTGGTTGCATTTTTTTAGTAAATTGACTTTCAAACTTCATTAGTCCCATTTTTGTCTTTCTGGAAGGTATACTGCCTCTAAAATTGTGAAGCTCTTATCAACTTGACTAGAAACCTTGACTAATCTCTGCTTTTAAGACTACTACCATTACGATTTATTCTCCTATGTTTTCTAATTAAAATACTGGTCTCAAGTAAAGATATATTTTTAAACAAACTCATTTATCATCTAAAGAGAACTTATTAACAAATTAACTCAGAGTTTTTTAGTCTGAAGACATGAGAATGAGGAATTCTTGAAATTTTCAGGCTTCTTTCAGACTCCTATGTGGCCTTGGTTGGTTTGCTGTAAGTTTGCAGAATTGCTGCAGGTTTTCACAAACTGAAATGCTGTTTTGGTTTGGCTTGGTTTGGTTTGTTCTAGAGCATTCTGTTTCTCTGTATTTTGCATGGTCATCATTAATAGCTGATCTTTTGCATATATTAGACGTCGCTGATTGATTTTTAAGAGTCTGTTCTTTGGTATCCAGTAGAAGCTTTTCTGTGGATATATAATTAGACGTTTGCTTTCTATGAATAGATGCTCCTTCTGCTTCTCTTACATTGGTCATCCTAGAAGACTTTACTCCAAATGAAGGTCTTGCGGATGCCTAAAAAGCAGATAGACTCCAAGTTTGCCACATGTCTTCTGATAATTTGGGACTACCATAAGTCACATGCGATTTTTGCAAAAAATGGATTTCTTTGGGCTGGTTTGAAACAGTTCCCCAGCTTTTGTATGTGTTTCTTTCCCCGTACTTCCATCCTGCTAAGCCAAATAGAGAACTTGCTTTTGTGGTGATAGACTTCTGGAGAGAAAAAGAAATTTGACTTACTGCCAAGTTTGTTTCCGCAGATATTGCAACAGTAAATAACTGTAATAGCTTTCAATGCATTTGTATGTAATAGGGAACAAATAAAAATTTTGCCTGAATATGACTTTCTTGGTTTTCTCTTCAGCCAAACCATTCCTTTCCTTTTCCTGTATTAGAAGATTTTATTTTACTTTGAATACAGAACTTTTACTCATTCTATCAATTTACAAAATTGCTTTCATTGTTGCCTTTTTGTTTAATTATGTAAAGTCTGCAGCACACCTGCCAGAAATACCTCAGGAAACAGTAAATGAATGTAAAGCAAGACTCGAAAAGAACCCTTCTAAGGATCTTTTTATGGACTGTACTAGGTAAGTTAAAAATGCACAGTGCTAAGTTTGAGGATCACAAGGGAAATTTGTGTGTTTCTGAGAGAAGTGAAAGGTGAAGCTATTACACCCAGGAGTATTTGGTCTCTCAAATAAGTGTAGGTAAGAAATTTGGAACAGATTTATTAAAGGACTAGGTTTCCTTCAGATGTGATTTACATGTTTGACTTTTGCAGAGCTTTTTCTTTAATGCTAATTTTGCATAAAATCACACTATTATCTCCTGCCAAGTATTCTGTAAGTTAGAATAGTATTTCTCTTTATTATATTCTTACCTTTTGAGTGACTTCTCTTCCTTGATGAATGTACTCAGAAAAATATGAAGTTATAAACTGGAGCTTGAAAGGTTTCTGAACAATGTTACACAATTTATGGTTCTTGAAAATGGGTTGAACAGAGGCCAACAGTTATATTCCATTAAGATGGCTAATTAGATGATCGATTAACACAGTGATAGTTAGCACAACCAAATACAACTTGGTTTTGCTCTGAAGTCATGAAGTGATATTTCACACAGCAGCAGCAGGAAGGCTTTTCTTGGAGGGACGGTACATGTTTACCAGTGTTGCATGTCTTTCTAAAGCCTTCATGTTTCTAATATTACTGGTTCTTCAAGACATGCTTGATCCTGTCTGAAGGATTACAACACGTTTTGTCACTGCTTGGGTCATCTCCCTGGCAACAAAAATAAGCATACTTTATAACAACCTGAGATTATAAGATTGAAAGGGATATTTGAGAACACCTAGTAAAACATGTCTCAAATGGAGGATCTGTCATGTAGGTCATCCCCTTTCCTCTGTCCAATAAATATATGAATACAGTTTGAATGACTTGTCTTCCTTCCCCCCACCCCCCCCCTTGGTGTGCTTAGTTTAAGGGGAATGATAAGGTACCTGATGTTCAGGTTTGCATATGGCATTTAATATTTCAATTTCAAATCCTAGAATAAAATTTTACTTACCAGTCTCCAAAGAATGTATGAAAACTTGTAGATACTTTCCTGTAAATATCTTTCACAGGTCATATATGTGGGGTCATACATGCATTGCATAGCTCCTGAGAAGCTGATATTTAGGTGGGCTTGAAGACACTTAATGAAAATGCAGAGGTCAAGCTTTATAGTTAGTGTAAGTAAAAGCAGTTTGACATTCACTAGTGTTTTGACAGGAACGGTTTTCCGTGACAGACACTCACTGTGAGGCATTTAGGTTAAAACCATTGTAGAGCACAGTGACAATGTTTTTCTGTCTACAGCTTCATTGATATGTTTAAGTGTATTTTAATAGATTGATAACACCTGCTTCATCAGTTTTTTCAGTGTAAGATTGATTTTATTTTCCTGTTACTAGAATTGTCCATGAATACCTAAGCAGAAGACCTTTTGAAGCTTACCAAGACAGTGTGTATTTTTCCCGTTTCTTACAGTGGAAATGGCTGGAAAAGTAAGTTTATTTATAATGTTTGCATTACGATTTTGCTTTGCTTTGTGGCCATTCCGCTTCCCGTGCTAGAAAAGTTGTAGAGCCCTAATGAGTGACACTGCCTGTCTAAGAAATTATGATCTGAAAGACAAGATGTAAAGGATGATGTTGATGGGACAGTGAGAGTGCCAATACTCCCAATGGAAGTCCAGTTGTCTTTAAGTGATAAATTTGTATTAGGTAAATACAAATTTATTATCATATGGATATATGTCTGGCTGTCAAGTGTGCAGTGGGATACCAGTCTTCCTTGAGAGAAAGTTTCAAACTTGGTCTAATTAGTGGTTAATAAGCAGATTAATCTAGTTTTATAACCCAGTGGGTGATTGGATAACTAATCAGTTTTTCAGGGTGGTACAGACACAGATTTAGTAATTACAAGAGAGCAAGATTTGTATATATCAGAATCTAGTTTGGGCTTTTAAATCAATACTGAGTGTCCAGACTTTTTTCGGAAGGCTGAAATTGGTACAAATTTATTCTAATTCAGCACCGCTGGGTATCATGATCCCATATTGAAACATTAAGGTGCTTGACCATTAATTTTATGGTAAATTCCAATTATCCAGTGTCTTTATTTGACTGAATTAGTAGCAAAAGCCAGGAAGAGAACTAGGGAAGTTACTCAAACAATTAAACCAAAGGAACCTCCATTTGTTGTCCTGAGAACAAAGCTGCATTAACAATGAATGCACTTTTAAAACAAAACCAAAAAAACCCCCACCACCATGAAACAGCTCTGCCCTGATACATGTTTAGGAATGTTTTAGCATAGAATGGCTGACACCTTTACTGCCTCCAGTTATTTGTTCTTCTTCCACTACATCAATACCTTAACAATTCGTCTCTTGAACTGCTATTGCATACTGCAACTCTTTCTTTTTTGGAAAACCTAAACAGCAAAGCAAAATCAGAAATGGTTTACCTTTTAAATGCTGCATAGTGAGCATGATCTCATTGAAACGCAGCCTACATGTCAGCATACTGCAACTAAGGGAGACAACTGGAGGTGATAAATTGACTGTTGATGAGAACAGATAAAGCTCTAACCATAAACAGCATAAGGCCTAATTGATCAGCTTTTCTTCCAGCTATTGTGAATGTCTGATGACCACATGAGGGAGCCAATGATTCTAATCAGAGCACCCCTTTCAGCTTATTATAATACTGTCTTCATGAAGTCAAGGCAACTGTTGTTCAGTAAGATGTCATAGAACAGGAGGGAGAAAATTAAGACAGACCTCAGCGTGGGGAGGGGATTACTAACTCTTGTAATTCCTGTTGCAGTAATTGTTTCTTTCTGTTAATCAGGCAACCAGTAACCAAACACACATTTAGGCATTACCGAGTACTAGGCAAAGGTGGATTTGGAGAGGTGAGTACAGAATTATCTTTCTGCAAGGCAGTCCTTGAGAGAAAAAAAAAAAAAAAGGTTAATACAGAGGAGAAGCAGTTTTTCAACTCTTGACTCTAACAGTCTACATTTGACACATCACCTGGCAAACTGTCATTAGTCCAAACTGTTTTCCTTTGATGTGTTAGTTTCAGTATTGTAGGTCATGCACAAAGCTGGAGAAAACTTCTACTGACAACAGTTGCTTCTGTTTAGAAATTTCATTTGGCAATGAGAATGTAGTTTCTACTTAATAATTATGTAGAATATTCATGAACCTCATAGGAAAATCTATAGATTTTATTAATTCTGTTTATAATTCAGTGGGGTTTTTTTCCCCCTACATGTTTTAACCAGAGCCCTATATTGAAGGGGAAGGAGGGTTACTAGATTGTCATTATCTTTTTCCTGCTTGATTATGGTGTGGATATTTGTCCTCTGTCCTGCTTGCCTAGACTGTTACCACAGTCAGGTGTTTTGCCAACACAAGATCCAGTTTTACTGAACTATTCAACCCCAACAAAAATGTGTTTGCTCCTGTATAATCGCTTTTTCTACTTGTTACAGCTTTTGTGTCCCTTCAGAGTTGTTTCATGGGTGAAATATCTGTATTGATTCTTACAAACCTTCATTTTCTGAGAGCATTCAAGAGTTCAAGAAAAGAAAAAAAAAATTATCTTCTTTTAAAAAAAAATTATTCTAAAAAAACCCTAGCATCTTTGACACACCTTCCTTCTTTTTTAGGTGTGTGCCTGTCAAGTACGGGCAACAGGAAAAATGTATGCTTGTAAAAAGCTAGAAAAAAAGAGAATAAAGAAGAGGAAAGGAGAATCAATGGCTCTAAATGAGAAAAGAATTCTAGAAAAAGTGAATAGTAGGTTTGTAGTAAGTATCTACTTCTGATCTTAGTCTCAGAAGTTTGTCTTGCTTTGTTTGCTTCATTTCAGTCTCTTTCAGGAACTTGTGAGCACAAGACATTTTTTAATTGATTTAGAGAATGCATGACTGCTGAGAGAAATGATTGATATAATAAGAAGCATGTTTTGGTTTTGTGTGTGATTGTGAGTAGCTCTGTGCAGAGGACTTTTTTATCCAATATTAAATTGATTTTAGTCTGCCTGCTTTATTTCTCACTTAAAACCACAACATTAGGTTGTGTTTCAACATGCTGATGCCACTGAATCTTTGTCCTCTGTTTAAAGGTGACTAGATTATTCTGTAGTGCTCCGACTTGAATAATCACTTAAATTCTATTTCTGCTGCAGCCTTTGACTGAGTATGTTTGTCTATGTTTAATAAAGAGGATAATTCCATATACTTTATTTCATCCTATTTTTTCCTTCTCTCTTTCTCTTCTCTGTCTCTTCTTCCAGTGCATTGCTCTCTGTTTTCTTCTCTTACCCCCTTCTTCCCTCCCATACACCTCTTTTCTTATAATTAATGCTGATTTCTAATTTCATTTTTGGACGTCATTCATAAAGGCACTTACAAAGGGGTGACTTCATGAGAGTCTCCCATTTAATTGCCATTAGAAGTTGCATATCCTGCATTTCTGTGACTTTTAATAGTAGAGGTTTTATATCCTTAGGTATTTTCATAGTATTCATTACTCTGTTGCTTATACATTTCAAGATAAACATGAAATTTGACTAGTATATCTATTCAGGTTAGTTATATTGCTTTTCTGTGTACTAAGGCTTAAAGAGGTATCTTGGATGTGAAACAATTAACATAACTTTTTAATAGAAATTCCACAGAATGAAAATCTAAGTCTTAATACTTTAACCTGATGCTATCACATAAATTATGGTCTGTTAGTAGCTCTAATTACTAAGCAGTGAAATAACTTAGAATGATCAAACTTATACCAAGTAAACTTTCCCCCAGGTAATGTTTATTTTTTCATTGAATTGTTGTCACTTAAGTGTTAATTTTAAATGCATTTTGCCTTGTTTTTAAATCCATTTACTGATAAATTTTGTATTGCAGTTCAGAGAGGATTTTAAAGTACCTGTGTCAGAGGATAGTAGAAGTTATTTATAAATAAATATATATATGTATAAAATATGTATGCATGTATTTTCTGATAAGCTTTATGTATTAAAAAACCCCTGTAGAGTACTGCCAGCTAAAAGAAAAATTAAGAACCTGCTGGCCAGATACTTTAATGTATTTTAAACGATTATAAATAATGTTTTTGTATAAATATGCTAATGTTGTTTTCTCACAAGGCTCATGGGCTTGAAATGATTGAAATTGAATCCAGAAATTACCTGAATTGATCCAGAAATTACTAGTTATGGAGATACATGAGATAAGAGTGAAACTTATATTTTTGAGTAATATTTTTTCAACATATGTAAATACTATAAATCAATAATTGATCGAAATTGAATTTGAAAACACTTTATAGGATTGAGTATAAGCTATTTTCTTGTTGCCAGCCAAAGCTTTTTTGAGGCAATAGAGAAGATCTAGACCTTGGATCTGCAGTAATACTGGGTTGGAAGTGGGTAGATAATTTGTCATGCCTGTGTCACAAGTAAAGTCATTAATAGCTGGACATGTCAGTTTAAAACCACCAAATAGTAACCCTTGCCCTGAGTAGCTGATTTAAATATTTATTTCATTTTATTATTTACTATTGGATTTATGCTTCTGAAGGAAGAGTTTGGGCTTATTACCGAATTATGACCTTTATGTATTTGTACTGCCTTTAAAAATACATTTATTGAGTCAAAAAATCCTACTGATTTTTACTTAGCTTACTTACCTAATGTAAGCTAAGTATATGTTTAAATCCCATTGCTTTTAAAACAAGTTAGTTAATCTCTGTAGTTAATTTTGAAGATCCTGCCAGATGATCATCAGCATAGCATAGCTTTTTCTATTGAAACTGAGTTTGTAATTTAAACAACATAAGTTGAAATTTGCAGTATACTACATTGTTTTAAAATTGGGTTTTTCTGAATTCACAAGTCTACTTTAAATGCTCTTTAAAAACATTTACCTAAAACCTGAAGAAAAAAAAAAGTGGTGTTCTTCCATCCCTATCAGTGCTGCATTCCACATACAGTGAGAAGAAGAAAGACTATAAAGAGCTATACTAAGTCTTTACTGTTGGCAAGTTCTAAGCCAGGGAAATATGCAGTTATTTGGGGGGGGGCAGGAAGGAATAGAAACTACACATTTGATCTTAAATAACTTTTTTAGTTTCTCTAATGTAGGGCAACTTTGAGTTTTGTAGAAGTTCAGGAAGGTGGTTTGACAATGCATAATTCCTGAATGAAATAAAGTATATGCGCATGTTATCTTTACAAAGAGTAATACAGATAATGTGCAGCTGAGGGCCATCATCAATAAATGTATTTTCTGGATGGAGCTCTATGGTATCTAAACAGATATGTCACTAAACTTTTGTACAGTGATGTAGGGTTTGTATATGCATGCAAATTGGAATACCTTTGTGTCTTCAAGTACTCAACAGGAGTGATCCTCTACTTGACTGTTGTGTTCTTTTTTTGTTTTAAAAAAGGATTCATATGTTGCTTGTATTGGAAAAAAGAGCTGTGAATTGTATTGGGGTTTATGAATGAATAATGGTTGTCTTCTCTTCCTGCCCCATTTTTAGGTTAGTTTATCCTACACGTATGAGACGAAAGATGCCCTGTGTTTAGTATTAACCATAATGAATGGAGGAGATTTGAAGTTTCACATATATAACATGGGAAATCCTGGCTTTGATGAAGAAAGGGCTATTTTCTATGCTGCAGAGCTGTGCTGTGGCCTAGAGGATTTGCAGAAGGAGAGAATTGTTTACAGGTGAGTGTCACCTACAGTCACTCGTACCTTGAATTTTCCATGTCTGTTCAGCATTGAATGTATTAATTGTTTCCTACTAAAACAAGTTTATACTTCAACTTCATAGTAAAAGAAGCAAAAAATTGTTTAGTTGTCCTTTTCACAGCATGTCCTTCAGAATAACTGATTTTATTTGTGTTCGTTCTTACTATTAATTTACGTTTAGATACTTGCTACATTCGAAAACTTTATAAAGTTCATTCAAGGTTTGTTTGTAAAATGAAAGTAAATTATGATTTACAAAGCAAATTCATTAGTAATTCAAGTAAATAAAATAAGTTTTAGGAACATGGGGTTTGTACTCCTGCCCACTCTAAAGCAGGAGTTTACAGAAGTCCCTTGCTGCATTGCTTGTTACGCCCAAGTGGGTAAAAAGTCAGTTATAATCCGTATGGCCCTCTTTATTCTGCTTTTATTTCAGGTTCCTCCAATAAACACTTTATTGCTTTTGAATTAATGAAGCTATCAGAAGCCTCATGCATTATTGTAATTGAGATTGTATGGTCTTACTGCTCTTTTCTGTCTCTGTACATACATCATTTAATCCCTGGCATGCATTAATATCACAGAACAAGCAAAACAAACTCAGTGGTGGACCAAGAACACTTTCTTTATATTACTGGTGTATAACACCAAGTACCACTTGTTTTTGAAGAAGATTTAAAGTATAATCCTGCATAACTTCAATATGATGAGTCTTAGTCTTTTCCCTCCCCAATACAGAAGACTAACATACACCCAAAAGAAAGTGACAGAACTACAGAGTAAATCAGTCTTATGCTGGTTGTTGTATATGGTTCCCTAAAGAATTTGGCTAATCTTGCAATGTTATGCAGTGTGTTTTGGCATGCATGTAGGAGGAAAGCAAGGATGAATATTTTGATCAGCTACAAGTAGGTCATTTCACATTGTCCAAGTGAAAACAAAACTGATTGTTTAAAAAACAAAACAACAACAAAAAAACCCAAACAAAACAAAAACAACAAAAAACCCCACAGCCCTTGTGTTTAAGCCCAACTTGTTAGCTATTTGCTTGTAAGAAGACTTTCAAACACATATGTCAAATCCTAGTGTTCTCTGTCTGCAATTACACATCTTGGAGTGGTCGTGGTTTCTTCTGGAGCAGTCTTGGTATCTAGATCTCTGCCCTGTTTTGTGCTATTACATAATCAGTTTCCAGTTATTAAGAATTTGTATGGCCTTATATTTATGAGCAAGGAAAAAAGTAGTTTCACAACCAAGTCTGAGTAAAATTGCCTGTTAATTAAAAGAATGGGAATTATTTTCAGTCTTCTGTTCATAGCAAGATGAAGGACCAAGAGACAGTTACCTGTACATGTGTTAGTAACTGAATATTTGTATGCTTGGGAAAAAAAGAAGGGCTTAAATTTACTCATAATACCTGAAGGTGTTATTTAAACAGTTCAGTATAAGACATGCTAAGGTAGTTCCTGCTCAGTATGTAAACAGATGAAAAAAGGCTCTAATTATACCATGTCAGCTCAAGTGTGCTTTAGCACTAAAACTAGAAAATGTTTGGATAATTTTACGCTCTTTGTAGAATTACTTTCAGCCCTGCACTTTTTAATATCGAATGACTAACTTTTTGTAAAACAAAGTCTTGTTTCTTCTCTTTTGCTAATGGTAGTATTTTTCCTGATGGTCTTGATTTGTTTTTTCCATATGTATTTCTTTTTGTATCATGCATTTAGAAGCGTAATTGTAAATTTTACAGCTTTAAAGTCTAGAAGCCAAAACAGGTGGTCATGGAAGTCTTCAGAATGTCACCAATTACAATGATAGAGAATTTTGATCATGTAACCTATCAGGCATCTTAATAGAAATGCATTTAAGCAGCAATACAGTGATTATATATGATTAGTGAAACAGAAAGCTTGGGAAAATTTGCCATAATTATTTTATTCTCACCAAAGAAGTTATGCTGGCAGCCTCCAGTCTTAATGTTGGCAGTGGGGAGGGGAGAATATAATGAAGCATGTTTTAATTGATTCAGTGATTTATTTTTCTGAATTATGGTAACTAGTATTTTTCATTCTCCAGGGCAAGAAAATACAGAGGGAATGTTTTTCTTATTTTGCTGTCATTTTGAAAGTATTTAATACTGGTAGGACCACTGAATTTCTGAAATTGGAGCTAGTTCTTTTTCTTGTTGCCATATTTTAAGATCTATTAGTGCGTTTGTTTTCCAGCTTTAAAGGAGGAGTTTTAAACTGTCTTTTTAGACAAATACCTTAAATTGTTAAAGTGGACTTTAATTCTGTAACTTACTGTTAGAAAATATTTTCTTGAGAACATGTTTTTGTGGCTATCCATCTGTATATTCACAGTAAAGTGTACTGCAAAGGCAGTGGAAGAAGGGAAATTCAGAACTTCTGAAAATAGAAATTCTCGGTGCAGAGGGGTGTCAGTAGATAGCAGTAAAATCAGTTCATCTTCGCAGTTTGTTCAGTTCTAGTTCTACAGTTTTAATGTAAGTCAGTCATGTGAAAATTTATTATAAATTTATTACATTTGGGACATGTTGCCATCAGTAGCAAAATGCCTCATAAAGTGGAAAAACTAGGCCTAACTTTCCTCTCCATTAACACCAATTTTTATTGTGTGTTTCATGTGTCTTTATACCAAGTATTAGTGAATTTCAAGCAGTGGCATTGGTGCTGTCTGTAGGACCCTGGAGTCAGTTGTGCCATTTTGTTAGTGGGGTTCCCACTGGCTTAAGAGAACAGGTGCAGAGCTGGAAGGAGGGCCCCGCGCTGCCCTGCGATAGCGACTGAGCCAGTTTGCTTGTTCAATGGGAGCTTGTGAAACTAGCTGTAACTTGCCATATGTTGCTGACGTTAGAAAAATAAGCAGACAGGAACAGGCAGCCGAGGAGCTATTCATCCATCTGCTACATAAAAAGTCTGATAATACTTAAGAGCGAAGTCAGGATTTGCATGAGACACGAGTGGGGAACAAGTGCCTGCTTTCCAAAAGGGACTTAATTGCTGGAGTTTTCCTGCAGGAGTTACCAGACTTCTCAAGGATGGTAGTGGTTTTTATCAGATACGCTGCTTGAACACCTAGTTTTCCTCACAAACTCATGTAGGTGCCCATAGAATGTGCCTGGAAGGTCAAAGATCAGACTTAAAGACCTGTTGAAGCTGTAGTGGATAAACCCAAGTAGCTCCTTGCCTGCCTTGTGCCTATGCTCAGAGTAGACATCTTTACAGCGAAATCCCCTAAGGATTTTTATCCAGAAATTTTCTCTGAAGGAAGGCTGGTATAAGCTATAGAACAAATAGACTTGGAGATGGAACTCTTTAAACTTGTTTACTTGAGTTAACCTGAGCATATAATACGTGCTTTAAAGTAGATTTGTTTCTACCTAAAGTTTGAGCTGAATTTTCTTTTGCTTTTTTGATACTGATGTGGGGGTTTTTGCGTTTTGGTTTTTTTTACTTTGATCTCTTCTGATTTCTCTGGTATTGTAATCTCATATCTAACATCAAATGTTTAACATTATGGGGACTATCTAGACTTAAAAGTATTAGAAGCAAAGTGTCTTGCTGACTTCCTTATACAGTTAATATCATGAAATAATGAAACTTTAACATGAATACGCATACTTCAGAGCACCAATTTATCAATATTTGGGAAAAAAAGCATGCAGATTTCTTGGTGAACAAATGTCTGTGTGTATATTTGTCTCTCATTTTGAATGTAAATTCTAAAGTCGTTCTTCCTAAAATTGCTTCTTTTACGTTATTCAGTCTTTTCTGCTTGTATATGAATAACTGTTCTTGTCACAACTGTACATATACCCATATATGTATATATTGTTTTTAATAATCTGTTCCAATAATAACTGAATCTTTGGCCAAGTACTGATTTTTGCTTGTCTACTTCTGGCTTTACAATATTTATGGTGGAATAAATCTAAGAGACTGTATTGCAATCCACATGTTTCTGATGCATATCACAATTATATATATATATAAAAAAATATACATGGTATCTTTTATACATATAGTCCATGCATATATATATTTTATATATATATATATAAAAATATATATGTTCTCAGTAGAATCTGCTAGAGGATAAATCCTAGAAGTAACCTCTGAACAGCTTCAGGTTCAGCTTCAGTGACTCCCCAACTTTTCCTGGGTGGGGGGAAATCCAAATATCCCATTGAGTTTCTTCTTTTGTTCTTAAAGTAAAAATGTACAAGAAGATGCCTATAAAATGCAGAACTGCAACACTGAATTAATTGCCCTTTTACTATTTCCTGAGTCTTGCTAGCATTCAGTAGCCAAAAAATGTTTCATGTGAAACTTCGATGTTTACAGAAAAGTAGTAGAGACTCTTAGAAAGTTGATTGCAAAGAATCCTAACTACATATGAAGTGTCTAGTAAGCTTTAGAAGCTGAATGTCCAAATTAAAGGAAAGGAGTTTGAATGGATGATATTAAGCCTGTACTTAGTCTTGGGAATATTACTCTCTGTTGTCTTATTACTGTCTGTTGATTTTCTGACACCCTGGGGTGGAATATAGCAAGGAGTCAGCATTAAACTGCAGCAAGCACTGGTGTATTTTACCATTGTGGAGTTGTATTCTCAGGGGAAATGTCTTTCACTTATGAGCACAAATTTGGGTCTAAGTTGGTGGTTCTTCATATCTGGATTTTAGTGTTGTGTAGAGAAAGATCCTCAACCGTGAAATATGAATTGCTCTTGTTAATATAAATGAATTAGAGAGTTGGGAAAAAATGGATCTTGAGTTCTATGGTTAAACTATTTGTAATATAGGTCCTCAACATCAACTTTTTTTTGTATATAGATGGAAACTGGAAAAATTGCTTTAGTCGGAAACCAAGAAACAGTGCCTCTGTTGCACTTGATGATGGCTAATAATTTTGCCTTTGTATAATTCACATTTCTATTCTGTTTAATTTGTAGAGACCTGAAGCCTGAGAATATACTGCTTGATGACTGTGGTAAGTAAAAATAAATTTAATTTTGAAATCAGGAATTACAAATCTAATTGATACTGTGCCAGAAACCAAAGGGACTTCTTCATGATAAAAGGGACCTGGCTGACAAATGTTAGCTTTAATTAGTAAAGAAAAAAACTGCCCTTGCTTTTTAGAAAGTAGGGGAAAATACTGGGTCTCTGGGGGATGACAATGATGATGTTTGAGGGGTCAATTTCCCACCTTAAAATGGCTACTTTTCCCCTTTTGCTCCCCCTTCTCCCCACTACCCTTGATTTAAGATGGCTAAAACTTTTATACGGCTTTGTTCTCTGTTTGTCTTTTCTTCGACTGTGGAAACATGATTTGTTAGAAGTGGGGCCAGAATTTTACTTGGCAAACTATAATGTTTAAGCAGTAAAGGAGAAAAGAAATCTGAAGCATCTCTGTTTGTTTTAACATTTCAACTAAAACAGGTCTGATGGTCACTGATGCATATGTGGCTGGAAGGAGTCAAGGAAGTACAAACAATATGAAGAAATGTTTGTAGTTTTTTGTTTTTCAAAAGCCAACTTAATTTTCTTTGATGACTTTGTATGAAATTTATCAGAATCTTTTGAATTCACTGTAGAACATGTGCAGCAATTACCTTCTAAGCTGTGGATGAATATTACCAGTTTGTTCTTGTAATTGCTGAGTATTTTAGTTAAGCAAAAACTGTTTTTGAAGTCATTAGCACAGTGTTTTTTTTAAAAAGTCAACATGTTCTGACTGAAAATTTCTAAAAAGGTGATGCTTGGGAGAAGTCACTTTCCAAGAGCTAAAGCTTTGCTAGACATCAAATGCATTCTTTAATTTTTCTCTCCAGCAATGCCTTGCAAAAGCTGAAGCATTCTTTGAGGAAAAATATAGCCTTGCAGGACCGCACTAGAATGCATTCTCTCTGCCAGGGATATTCTGATCATGTTCCAGAGAGCAGAGGGGACTAATTAGAAAATCACTTCAGGAGCTCAGATCCTGCACTTAAAAAGGGGTTCATCAGATGTCAGGGAAAAGAAGAGCATCTGAATGTATTTAAAATAGCATTAGCGCTCAAGAGCATTTAGTTATTTCCACCCAGTATATAGAATGTCACTTGACTTTCTCTACTCTCTCTTCCCACCCCTTGATTATCTATCACATGTAAACAAGAAATTAATATGCTATTAACTAACGTTGACACTGTAGAGCTTTTTGAATGACAGAGGGCACAAAGGGCACTCGGGCATTGGAATGGGCTACCCACAGGTGATGCAGTGTTCCCTCTTGGAGGCTTTCTAGACAAGAATTTAAAAAACCTTGAACACTTTGGGAAAGTAGGGTACTTTGTTAGAGGAAAACCTGGTGTCTCAGTACAGGCAACAGTTTCCCCATATTTGGAATAAATGGAGTAAATTCTCATGTTTTGTTAGGAAGTCAGAAAGCGAAGTGTTTGTGGCAGGAATACAGAATGGAAAAATGCAAGTGTCTGATGGATAGATACAGAATTTTAAATGAGCAGTCATCATTTGTATTTGTCCTACAGTAGCAGCCTATGCCAAAGCTAGGAATTAGAGTACTTAACAGCAAATTTTTTTGTATGACCTTCAGGAAATCAGTTAGGTCTGTGCCTCTCTTCCTTTAAGTATTTAAGGAAGAGTTGAATAATGGTCAATCACTCCCTTCTAGCTAAGTTAAATAAACTTAGTACTATGTGTATATGAATGTTTTGATGTTTTGGGGTGTTTTTTTGATGAGGTATGCTACAGAAGCTGTTTGTTTTAAAAGTGATGATACTTTATTATTTGCTGACTATGCATAATTTATTTTAACATAAATAGGACATATCAGAATTTCAGATCTTGGATTAGCTGTGCAGATTCCAGAAGGAGAAACGGTCCGAGGACGGGTTGGAACTGTTGGTTACATGGGTATGTAAAGTATCCTTTGCTAGTTACGGTTTACCAGAAAACTTGCTTCTGTGAATATATGAATGACTTGTCCAAAGAACTATATTGGGCCTGGATTAGTTAGTTACTAGACATTTTATGGGAAGAAAGGTTACAATATGTGGTGGTAGATGTTAGTAGTCAATTATAAGCCTACTGATAAACTTGAAAACTTAACTCAGGATATTCTACCTTTAGGTAGAACTTTAAGAAAGCACCTAATTTTTTTTCTGAGGTTCAAAGAGATTTAAGGTCACAGGTAAGCAGATGAATTACTATGACAACACATTTCTTTCCTTGGTTTGGAAAAACTTCATTCTTAGTTTGTAAACAGTACTGCTCTTAAGTGTTAAAGAACTTAAGTGCTTCTCTTGAATATAAACAGAATCCTCGCTGTAGAAATGAACGTTTCTTCAAGGCACAAAGGAGTTACGCAAAGATCTCTGCACAGAGCCAAAGGAGTACCTGAGAGTTTTTCCAATATTTAATTAGTCCATTTAAAGTGAATTGTCATGGGGGTTTCTTTGTTTTTGTTTCGTAGCTCCAGAAGTGCTCAAAAACGAAAAGTATACATTCAGCCCGGATTGGTGGGGTCTTGGGTGCTTGATTTATGAAATGATTGAAGGACAGTCTCCATTCAGGAAGCATAAGGAAAGGGTCAAACGGGATGAGATTGACCGGAGAGTAAAGGAAGACCAGGAAACGTATTCAGACAAGTTCTCAGAGGAGGCAAAATCCATCTGCAGGATGGTGGGTGAAGAGACATAGAGGTTTGAAAATTAAATTTCTAATCCTTTTTAAGAGATCAACTACTTTATTTTAACATCTTCTGTTGAAAATTTTTCAAAGCTGGAGTTTTTAAATCCTGCTTTGGTTCAATTGAAAGTTTGTGATTGTCCATGAATTGTTCAATTACAAACTTTGAGAACTCGGAACTTTTTTTCAAGACAAAGGAAGGCTGCATAAATTGATTTTTTCATCATGTGAATGAAAAGGTCCAGCACTCCTTGGACCACATGTAATCGTAGATGGAGTACAATAGCATGCTCAACTTTAATACTGCGTGGGGAGAAATGGCAGAGCAGTATACTAGTTTCCTTGCCTAAAAGAGTCTGTATGAGACAGCAGCTTTTTTTTATCTTGCATGTTCTTAAATTGAATAAGAGGCACATCTATACAGAAAGATTCAAAAGTTTTCTTTACTAGTTCATGCAATACATGTGCATTACTTAAGCCCACTGGAAAAAAATGTAAGTCTGTATTTCCTGAAAGTAAAGTCTACTGCAAAGTCTGTACTGTAAAATCTATTCAGCATGGCATCAATTAAAATATTTTCATATAAATTTGGGTATAATCTTCAAATTGTCTGCTTTGAGGGATTCTTTTGTCTCCTGAAAATCATCTTGCTCCCAGAATGCTGTAGTTTGGATTTCCAGTTCATTTTGATACCATGATAAATTTCATCTGATAAAAGGCCAAGTAACAAAATAAACTTATTGAAAGACATTGTATATAGATTTTTTTTTTTTATTTAAACTGTGGGATTATATCACTGGATCAGCCTTTTTTTCCGCATCTTTGCAGTTACTTGCTAAAAATCCAGGGGAACGACTGGGTTGCACTGAAGATGGAGCTGCTATTGTAAAGCAACATCCTATTTTCAAGAATATTAACTTCAAGAGGCTGGAAGCTAACATGTTAGAACCTCCATTCTTGCCAGATGTAAGTAGGTGAGACAGATTTGATTAGTATCTAAAAAGGCAAGAACTGTCATAATTCTATGTCAGCAATCATACCAACCAAAAGCAGCACACATGTGAACTCCACAGAATCCTTCAAAGTTAGTTAAATTGGCAGGAGAATGCCATTGTAGCTATCGATAGCTAGTTGTTTTGTGGCATTTCATCTGAGATTGCAAATCAATTTACAATAGTGGTATTGCTCTAGGGACCTTTGTAGCTGATTTCTTAGCCCTAAAACTCTACTTCCATAGCTCAGATGCTGAACAAATGAAGATTAACTTTGAAGAAATTACTCTGGAGTTGAAAGGAGAGTGACAGAAGATAAGTGAATTCTGACAACCATTAAGAAATCCAGAGAAGTTGCATGCTGTTTCTGGTTTTGATATTTCTTTTCTGTTACTTGCAGGATGGATGGAATGGCTTAGGTTCCTTATGAAGACAGCCTTTTAAGTGTTTGCATTTCTGTTTTGTAGTATAGAGTAATTTGGTGATCAGCAATATGAAGTAAATATTGCAGACATTTCGCTCCCCCTTTGCTCATCTAGGAAGGAGAGGAAAACAAAACAAAACATAACAAAAAAACCATGAAAAACCAAAACCCAAAACCTTAATGAAGCAATCTTGTATTTGTACTGCAGCCACGCGCCGTATATTGTAAAGATGTCCTGGACATAGAGCAGTTCTCAACAGTAAAAGGAGTGAACCTGGATACTACAGATGATGACTTCTATTCCAAATTTGTTACAGGTTGTGTCTCAATCCCTTGGCAAAATGAGGTATTGTATATTTCATAAAAGATTATCTTCTTTAGCACAGCAATATAGAAGATTTAATAAGGGATATAATTTATAGTATTAACTGTCTCTGTGAGAAGTAAAGAAGCTTCTGCTTTAGGCTTCTTTGCTGAAAGACTTCAGAAAAAAAGGTTTTCCCAAAACATAAACGCCTTGCTAAAAATTGGGATCTATGGTAGATTTGCATAAATAGAATCTGGCATCTTTGTGTCATAGATACAGCATACAGAACAGTATTTAGCATCAGCATGACTACGTTTTCCTTGTTCTTCTATCACATTCAATATTGCTGTTCATAGGAGAGGGATAGAATGCTATTCAAAGTATACAAAAGCAAATAGGCGCAATGCAAGCTGTTTGTGTATCATGCTTTTATATCAATAGAGTATCCAAGTGACACAGTAATACAGAACTGCAGACTCACCTTTTCTAAGGTTTCAAAACAAATGGTTCAATATTGGTTGTGTCAGACTTTCTCTTAAAGCTTTTTCATCTGCCTAGTGAATGTGTATTCTAGTATTCTGCATAGAATACTAGAATTTTGCTACCTCTGCATGCAGTTCTGTCTGTATTTAGGAAATTCAAATCTTCTTTATTATTTCGGGAAGAGCACTCAGTAACAATTATTTAAAATTGTAGTTCTTGTAATGAATGCCTTCCCCCTATTATAAGATGTTCATAACTTTCTGAAATTAGTATTGTCTTAAATTCTACTAGTGTAGTTTCTTTCCCAGTATGAGTTTTTTTATTTTATTTAGAGCTTGAACACAAAAGATGAGCAATTTCTGAACAACTCAAAGAAAAAAAGTACATTCCCTTTTGTTTCCTTTTTGCTTTTTTGGTGGGGTTTTTTTTTTGCATTACATTAAGAAGGAGATTTGGAAGGTGTCATTTGACATAGGAAGTCTTCACTAAGAAGCAATGAACCTTAGGCTGTTAGAGAAATAAATATTACCTATGCTATGTTGTAATTCTGAACTTCAGAATATGATCTAGTCATTAAGAAATGCACTGCAGCTTAGTAACTCTAACCGCACATATAGGGATGAAGTTGAAAGTAGTTGTGGAATTCTGGTGATGGTAATTCCTTCTATTCAAGGAATAACTATGCAGACTTCATTTTACATTTGTGCTTTTATTTTCTTTTAATTCATGTTACTGAGCTTTCCCTCAAATCTTTGCTCTCAGTCTCTTAAGAATTCCTCCTCCCCTCCCATAATTTACCTTACATCATGGTTTACAACAAAAGCAGACCACATTTCTTCTTATTCCTCTTTATGTCCTCTCTCCCTCTACAAGGTGTACTCATTTGGTTGCATGCCCATTGTGATAAATGTGTATCAGTGGCACTCGCCAATAAATGCCAGCTACACGTGGGCATTAGCCACTCACCCCCTTCTGATCATGCCTGTTTGTTACATTTTGGCATTTACTCTTTCTGCTCTCCTTTCTGCACCCAGTAATTGTGGTTTTAATTCTTTTGTTTTCTGTGTACACAAACACAGATTATTTCAAAATCCCTTGCTTCTCTCCAGAGACCAGTCTTCATTATATCTTTTTTTTTTTTCATGAAGTATTACCTTCTCTGTCTCATTGCCTTATTGCTAATTATGGTATACGTTAGTTGTGTTTTGATAGACGGTTGCCGAAAACACCAAAATGATGTTTAAATCACTGTGGTCCAACATCAGCTGCTTTTTCCCCAAGAATGCAATTTGTCCACTTTGTAAAAAGTATCCCCCAATGCTATGCAGGTACTAGTATTCTGCATAGAATAATAATTTCTCCTACTCAATGTATGTTTATTAATTAAGTTCAGTACAGGGTATAGAGATACTATATTTGTTAGGCTGGACTGCTCTGAAATGAGCAGAATAGATGAAAGGAAAATCAATTTCTGGTTCTAAAAACTTCCCCTTATTGCTTCATGGGCAGAAGAAACGCCTTACCAAAGCAAGGGAGCATTTGAGAACTTACCCGCATGATAGTGCTCCCATTGCCATTCTTCAGTTCACTGGGTGCACAAGGAGAGTTAATGTAGACTCTCTTCCTTCCTTCATGGAGCTCTCTGCGTGGTGTAGTTTGGCTGATGAATTTGTAAGTTGTTAGGAGTACCCAGCCAGAGTAAATAGATAATAAATGGAACTTGTTTCAGAGGCTTGTATGGATATTTCATTTATATTTCATATGTTTCAAAGATGATTGAAACGGGATGCTTTGAAGATATCAATGCCTATGAAACTGATGGTACTGTGTCACCAGACAGAGAGAGGTCTCCTAAACCAAAGAGAGGCTTCTTTCACAGACTTTTTAGTGGAGAGGTAAGGGTATTTCTTTTCTTTCATAAGAAAATTACCAGTAAGACCTTAACATCCATTCAATTTTTTATATTATTTTGTGATAGGAAAAACAAGTTGTTTGCTAAATACTGAAACTAATGAAATCTGGTTTATTATGGCTTTGCTGCTGCTCTGCATTTCAGAAACTGTGGCAATCCCTATAATTCCAGGAGTTTTTCCTCCCTCAGCATTCTGTGTTCCTCTAGTGTCTGCTAGCTGTTACCTGGGGAAAACGTACTGTGTGCTGTTAACAGCTGTGCTATAGATCTTTCTTTCCTAAAGATATTAATTTGGGTCTTGCTCCTTCTGTATTTTGCCAGTTTTTAATCAAAACTTCTGGGGAGACAATTTCAGGGATAATTAAGGCCCTCTCTGTAAAAACTTAAATAAAATTGACTAATGAACTCAGAAGTGAGCATGGTGGAGCAATGGAACTCCTAGGACTCTCTAGAAAGTTGGGCTCCCAGTGATTCTTTCTAGTGTATTAAGCAAATAAGTAAAACTATCCCCTAAATGAATGAGCGTGAAGAAGTGTCAGTAAACAAATGTTAAAATATCGTAGGTAGTTTAATGTCTTTACCAAAACAACAACAGAATATGTGTTTACACAGCTGACAATGCACAGCCTTTTCTTACACACATAACTTCTACTCTTGAGTAAACATTTAGAGGTATATGAATTGAGTATTTACCACCTAAAAGACATGTGGCATATTGTGCTTGTTTATAGGTTGTGAGAAGTAGGCTATTTGTAAAGGTTTTCAGTTGAAGATGTTGTACACAATTCTGCTTGCTCAGTATGCCTGCACTTAGAATGGAATTACCTTGAGAAGCATGAGTATATTCCAGTAGAGAACACTTCTGTAGAAATTACTTTTGCTTTCAAGCAGAAACAGAATTTTAAAATTGCTAGGAGCACATCATTAAGTAGCCACAACAGGGCCATGTATTAAAATTGCATGATGATTTTTTTGTCATTAGCTGGTAATTCACCTCTCTAAAATGGTACAATGCTAATGGAATGTATAATAGTACTGTCATTTTTGGTTCACCTTTTCAAATTCACTTTTCCCCCACTTACAGTAATAGAATAGAAGGAATGGTTAAGTGTACTAATAATGTCACATAGCTAAAGTTAAAGCTTCTGTCTTACTGTAGTCTCTTCCAGCTGAATCAGCAGGGTTCATACTGTCCCAATGTATGGTTCTATGTATTGAGAAAGAGTCCTAAAAATATCAACAGCGCTTGAGAGCCTTCAGTTGGTTTTGAAGTGATAAGACTGCAGTTAATTGTCCTGTGAAGTTAAAAGAAGGAAAGAACTTAAGGTTAAATGAAACTTTAATGACTTGAGATTTTGGGTTGGGTTGTGGTTTCCCTTGATATTCCCAAAGCATGTAGTTAGCATGGAGTAAAATGTGCTGGAAAAAGAGCCATCCCCCACCCCCCCTAGCCTTTCTGTGCCCCATAAAACACACAAACCAACAATAGTGTCAGTTATGCAGCTGAATTGTCTCTTTGTCTTGCAGGTCTGCTTTAAATCTGATTGCAGTGATGATGAGCAGGAGTCCTCCAGACTTTAAATCATTTTACTCTCATCAGAAAGGATGAGCAAACTTTAAATGTTTTATATCTCTGTAGCAAAGTGTATTATATATATTTTTTATCTGAGTTCAAGGATTTTTGTACATTTGTACTTCATTTGTTTTAAGATGTATATTTTCACTAAAGCTTAATTGTACAAAAAAGCAATGAGTGCCATTTGAGTGAGTGTGTTTCTGTATGTATCTGATTTATCTTGATTATTTTTTTTTCTAGTGGGAATCTAGAAATACTAAAAGGATTTTAAAGAACAGAGATAATATCTATGGCATCAATGCAACTTGACTTTGTATGCTCCTGGTAAAACTCTTCTTGTTCATTAGGATCTTTATTAGCAGTTTTCTTAACAGTAAAATTGCTGTACTGATAATTTCATAATTCCGGTATTATCCGGCAGCATGGCAGTGCTATTACCTAATGTATCTCTCAAGCAACTGCTAAGGAAAAAAAGGAATTCAGTGCACTATGGCCAGCTATTATGAATTGCTCTTTACTCTCTGGCTCTGTAGAATGTCTTTCTGTATTTCTATATATAGAGAATAATTCTGAACATTTAGATTAATCCTGTAACAAACTGTATTACCGCATTCTTCTCTTTTCTACCCATCTTACACATCCTCTCCAGACAGTTTCTTGGCATGGACCATGCAAGTAGACCTATGCCAAAATTTTATAACTATATTTTGAGTACTTTGTTGTCTTTACCAAAAGGATTTCTTTTTACCTGTGGGGACACCTTTTTATTTTTTTCTGTAAATGAAATTGTTTACAACTCCATGTAGGATGTTACAGTTTTATAATAGGTTAAAAAACAAAGCATGAGCTCTTCTTACCTCATCTCTGCTTCTTATGTTGTAATACACAATGTTGTAGGGTTGACAGCGATCACTGCCACTGAGGGAAGGACAAGGTAGTACTAAGTATCAAATTTAATTATGTAAATAATGTTTCCTTATAGCCTTTAAAAACTTCAATATTAAAAGCTGCCTTTAAAGATTGCTTAATGCAGATGTGGAACTGGTATTGAAGTTTTAGTTACAATTACCTGACGTCCATTAGTAAAACCGTATCCAGCTGCTTGAAAGCTTGTCAAACTTTCATTCTTCTGGACTCAGAGTATGCCAGACTTTCTTTTTATTTTGTAAAGTTTCCAGTAAAACTATTAATCTGTGTATGAGAATGCATTTAGGGAACACATTTCATTAAGAGCCTCTTCTGTTCTCAAAATTTGAGTTAGGGACTTGAAATATGATGGAACTCTCTTGGAGACATGACTTTTGTTATATATTTTCTTCTGTTTTCTGAAGATTTGTCTCCACTGAGCATGCATTTTTTTTTTCCTCTCAAACCCCTAGGGCACCAACCAGACCACACATGTATTATACACACAGAGCAACTGAATATCCCTCTGCTTCAAATAGGTTTCTGCTTGTGATCTGCAGACTCACTGGAAGAAACTTAAGCTGCTTCTGAGAAACTCAAAAGATACATTTGATACTCAAGCCTAATGTCAGGTTTTAATTCACAGTATTTTGTCTCTAGTGACAAATGATTTAAATGGGTTAGAATTTGAAAAAAATTTGAAAAACTAGTGTGTTACAGAAACCCATTGGGGCTGAGCTGATGACTCTCTGAAATTGTTCCTCTTGGCTACTGTGCCACAGAAATGAGGAATGAGACTCTTTTCCTGCGTTTTCAGTGCATTTTTCCTTATGTCTAAAAGAGCATAGGGGACAGCAAAACGACTGCCGTAAAAATACAAAGGGAGAAATTGGCAGAGGGAGAGTTTGAATGAATTACTGGAAGATAGTCTGATGCAACATTGAAGGGATGGGAGGCTTGACAAAAAGAAAAATATCTGAAGTAAGGGTGTTGGCTGGAACCATTATGTGTGAGACAATGAGCTGGCATAGTCTGGCCTGACCCTCTTTATTATGTACCACAATAACAGAAGGACTCTAAAAAGATGGGAATGGAGAAATAGGGAAGTAACAAAAGTGTTTTATAAATACCTACGTGGTTGGAGAAGTTGTCATGTTTCTCTGATAAAGGAGTTTTATTTTTTAAGGTCTTAGGTTTGCTGTTCTGAGGCAAAGGTGACTGTATTAACACTAGACATATGGGGTGACAGTCTGGATTTAATGCCTGCTTAGAGAAACTTGAAATTTGGGCAAGAATACCATGGACACAAGCGGAGTAATTTTTACGAAGAAAATACAGGGATTGGCTTTAACAAATAAAAAAAATCTGAAAGTCTATTTATCATGTATTTCAAATTTTCTTTCCATATTGGAGGGGGAGGGATCTTAACTTAAAAAAAAAATAAAGAAAGAAACCAACTCCTCTAGGAGTGCTGAGACTTAATACTTACTCTCCAGGGATCTGTGAAGAAAAAAAGCCTCGATGAAGAGAAAAGGGAAGTTGTTCCTAAGAAGTGGTTATTTATAAGTCTGCTTCTTTGAAAAAGGAACTCCTACCATGCAAAAAAGTGGAGGATTTGTTTGTTTTTATGAAGCTTTATTTAGTTTCATTTCACAAGTTTTTTCTTATGTTCTGAATAATACTATTAAATTGTTTTTGAGTAACTACATGTTTGCAGGATTAGGATCTAAATTCTGTTGCTTTTGGGGTTTTGTTTGTTTGTTTGTTTTTTCCCCAGTAGGCTCAAGATGGCATTTTTCTACTATAAATTTGTCCCTTTTGGCTAGAAATATAACCACATCATAATGACTAGATACTACCTAATGTGAATCCCCTAATGAATTAGAAAATGCAAGAAACTGGAAGGATCAGCATGACTCTCCTTATACGGTACATGGAGATGAAGATCTTATGCTGTTTAATCTAAGGAGACTAACATTGGTTAAATGTCTTTACTGGAGTATTAGTAGTTGGAGATGCATTTTGAAAGCGGGAAAGGATAAGGAGAAGGGAGAACACCTGAAAGCAAAATATTGTGGTGTGATAAATTTAATATGAACTTTGCTCTTGGTTTTTGTAGGACATAACTGAGACAAAGAAGGAGGAAGGCAACAGGTTGTGTTTACTGATTATGTAGCCTTTTATTTCCATGAAGTTATTTAAAAAAAAAAAAAGCCAAGGTAAATTCTTGTCATTTCAGTATGACTTCATTATATTTCCATGAATTCAGATTCTAGATCCATGTGTTAGAAGGCTTTAATAGCAGTGAGACAATCCAACAGCCCAACTGCTTTGTTCTACTGGTGCAAGATATGGAAAGATCTATGGAATTCCATGGAGTCACTTGCATGAGATCTACCCTCCTTTTCTGTGGCTTGTGTTTCCAAGCATTTGTGTATGTAAGTCTTACTGTCTGCTTGTGCATACCTCATGAATCTATATATTTAGCTCAAACTTCAGAAACTGTGAAACAATGTACCAGTATCTTATTGGTTTACTTAATGCTTTTGAATGTTGTGACTAACAGAATAGAATCTTCATGCCTCAGGGTTGTTATCTTTCTATAAAAAAAATTGTCAGCTTTTTTTTTTTTCCCAGAGTTGTAGTGTTCATAATAGAGATGGTGTTATGTTTCTGGATTATAACAACAAAACAGTCTCAGTTGAAAAAATGAGCACTTAAAAATAAATACTGCATAGTAATAAACAGGAAAAAACCTGTGGTATTTCTGTAACAAAGACAGTGCTATTGACAAATCTTAGCCTTCAATAGAAGATGTTGTATGTCTTTTTTTTTCCCCAAATCATTCTTAAAACAATAGATCGGAAGGTTTTTGATTATGAAAGAGAATTATCTCCATCTCAGAATAGAATTATGTCTAATTTGAGAAATCAATGATAGGAGCTTTCTAAAAACAACTAAAAATCCATTTTTAGAATGCATTTCAATTATTTTTCAAACAATACCGATACAAGAAATTTCTCATTGCCATTTGTACAAACGCAGAATACTTGTTTACAAGTTACTAAAATAAGTCAACAGAAGTAATATTATTTTGCTTTGGTTTACAATTTAGTATTATGCTAATTTAACATTGGAATTATCACCTTCACTTTAGTGTAGATTTTCAGAAAATACTTCTATTTAGGAAGTACATAAAAAATCGGATTAAAATTAAAAAAATAATGGAAAGCATCTTTAAGCTAAATTTATGTTTACTTTGATTTGAATTAGCTGCCTGGCTCATTTTGGTGATGATGATGTCTCTTCTGCTGAATGTACAATTCTTTTTTTATTTCATAGTTGTTCTTATGGTGTAACTTAAGTTTTGCACATGAGATGTAGGTAACTTTTCTGATGTCCCACATGTATCCAAACCACCAGAATTCTTTCCAAGTATAGTGAAGCTGACTGTTAAATGTGATGTGTTAGTTTCGGTATCTCCAAACCACTGAACTGTTCTTGTATGAGCTGTTTTCCTGGATGTTCTAGCATTGTTACTCCTGAAATAAAAGCAAAACACTGCCGCATATCTCAACCACATGTATTACTGTCTAATGTGATTTATTTACCATGTCTATCATGGTAGCTGGGATAGAGAAAAGAAAAATTGTAATTTGAAAAAAAAATTGCAATTTGTTGAAGCACAAAATGTGTATTACATGCTGTGAGTTCTTTACCAATGTAAGATTGTCAGATCCAGGAAAAAGTGCCCCAGCTCTGTTGTATTTGTTCAATGGATGCCTTATCTCATGGTCTGAATCTTCATTTCTACATAAATTTCTATGTGAAAAGACAGAATTATTGGCATGGGCTGTTTAACACATTTATTGTGGTAACACTACGAATGTGAGTGCAAGATTGATCAATAGTAGCTGTAGCTCTACTTGTCATTAGCTTTATCACGCATATTGAATTTTATACTATCACCAAAGGAGACTAACCAGACTTCACTCTCCTTGAGAGAATTTATACCTTGATATTAGTTGGATTTGTGGGTTTTTTACATCAAATGCTTTTCAACAGTAGGCTGCTTGTATCTTCAACATTTTGCCCTGTTTATGCAAAAGCTTTCACTGTAATTTTATGGCATGAGTTGAAGGGCTAAGCACTCAATTACTATACAAAACAGCTTCAAATTAAGTGACTTTAACAATGATAAAACTGTGCTATGGCATATTGCAGATTATCTGTGCATATGTTGAACTACATGGGCCAGCAGTCTCATGAAGTCTATTGGATAATTTGAGTAGTACCAACTACTTGCTGAATTGTTTGTAGAAATGCAGAATTGCTGACCTAAGTGTGACTTTCAGGACAGAGCGAAAAATATTCTTGATGTGCTTGTCCAACCTGTTCTTAAAAACATTAAATCAAGAGGTAACATGCGTAGGTAGCCTGTGTTTAGGAAACCTTTCCACGTTCATTATGTTCATGTCTGTGTTATAGACAAGGCAAAAGCATGTTTCTTCTTTTTTTTCTCCTGGAGGTTGAGATGAATTCATCGTGATTCACTAAATTACATTTGACTTTTTAGGTATTCACTGTTACTCCCTTGAGATTGTGACTTTATTTTTCTTTGTGGTAACGATGGCTTTACAAAAATGCCTGTTCTCTAACCCTGCCTGCTTATTCTTGCCCCTTGCCAATTTTACATGACTTCATTTTTGCCAGTGCAGCTGTTTGTGGGGCTGCTATTTGAACAGGTGAGTGGCATGATATGTGCAAAACCATGCATCGGTAAATTTTAATTGGGAGAACCTACTGATAAGGTACTTGACAAAGAAAAACCTGATACCCCTGAGTTCTCTTCCAGTTCCCCCAACTCCTGGTTTATGAGCCAGAGGCTTGCACTGCCGATAACAGTTGGGAAAGACAAGGAGAACAAAGAGGAGTGTGCTTGCAGGCAGGCATTGCCTTGTCCTTCCTGCCGGTGAGTCAGCAACCCTTAGGGGCCTGGCATGCATTTTGGGCTGAAGCTTCAAAACAGGTTTGCAAAGACTGACTTGGGTGGTGGCTTGTTTAATCTTTGATAAGAGCTTATGCTCTTTTTAACGTGCTTAAATTTATTTCAAAGTGTGGAGTGGCACATGTAACTATCACATAGCTGGACTGCTGCATACACTATGCTGTCATCCTTTTTCATGTATCGTTTGCTAAATAAAAAATTCATGATTGTCCCTATATTCCAGAGAAAACTGTCTGCAAGCTTTATCATAAAATAATCAGGAAAAATATTCTTTTTACCTTAAAAGCTCACATTTTGTTACACATTTATAATGAAATAGGGGTTTTGCTAGAAGCTGAGTTGCTCTCAGTGCTGTAGATAGGTTTACTTTCAGAGTAATGTTTCAAATGGTTCATCTTTTATTAACGTGCTAACAGAGCACTGTTTTACTGAATATTTGGCAAGAATGTGATCAGTGAGGTGGTTCTGTTGTGACTTATGTTGGCCTGAATATCCAAAGACATAGGCTTTGCTGCTTTTGTCCATCCCTACTAGCAATAACTAAGTTGCATATTAAGTTATTACTGGGACTTTCTTTTCTTAAACGTTTCAAGACCTGTTCTCCATTTGCATTGCTGGAACCAATTCCATGTGTTTGAGATCCAAGCTGACTTGCCAGTTCTTATCAGCTGTCATTTAAAATGTGTATCGGCAACTAGGTGTATTCACATCAGCGGCTGTAATTGGAAAGTTCACAATACTGTTGGTTGTTTTTAATTAAGTGCTGAGTAATAGAATCAACAATTTAAATGCTGTATACTGTATATTTAATAGGTGCTTTAAGAGTGCAAAAACTATTCTCTGATAACGCAAGCCCAGACGCACGAGAGGAGTGCTGGAAGGCTAACGGGTGCGTTGCCAAGGTTTAAATGTCCTGTTCCTCTAAGTGTTCCCTCTTTACACGCAGCCTCAACTGAAGGCCCAATGCCGGCAGCGCCTTTTGGCAACCACCTGTGTGCTAAGGGGGCTTGCTGGAACTGGGAGTGGGCGAGCCGTGGGGGCTACTCGTGACGCGTACTGGCGCCGCGGTGCTGCCGGCCGGGCCGGCGGGCTCTAGGACCCAGCGCCCCCTCCCTGCTCAGCCGCCCGGGGAGCAAGGGCCCTGGGTCTTCCTCACGCGCTGCCGTCTGCCTGATCCATATGCGGGAAGGGGTGGAGCCCTCTTTCTGATTGGACAGATTGTCGCTCCCCCTGCTGCCCCGCCCCATACCTAGCCCGCGTGCCTGTGTGTGTACGTACGTAAGGGTGCGCGTGACACCGGGCCGGGCGCTGCGGTCTGCGCATGCGCGCCCGGCGCGGCCGCGGCCAGGGCTGGGACCTTGCTCCGGGGTGGGCGGGGCAGCCCGGGAAAGGGGGCGGGGGCGGGGCAGCGGCGTGAGGACTGATGGGACGGATTCAAGATGGCGGCGGGGCAGCTGGGGAGTGCTCGCGGCCCCCTGCGGCGTCTCCCTCATTCATTGCGGCAGTGACGGGCGGCGCGGCGTGAGCTGGCGGCGGCGCCTCCTCCGCTGGCCTGAGCTTGCCGGGCGAGCGGGAGAGAGCGAGTCCGGGAGGAGGAGGAGGAGAGTCGGGCGAGAGTCGGGCCCGCCAAGAGGAAGGCGGGCGCCGCCGGGCGCCTGTGAGAGGGCGGGGAGGAGCGGCGGGTCGGTGCCGCCGGCGCGGGCGGAGCGGCCATGGCCACCATGGAGAAGCTGATGAAGGCCTTCGAGTCGCTGCGCTCCTTCCAGCAGCAGCAGGGTCCGGCTGCCATCCCCGAGGAGCCGCTCCAGAGACCGTGAGTGACCCGCACCCGGGGACTGACTGGGAGGGCTCCCGAAACGCTTCGGCGACGCCCTCCCCTGCCCCCTGGGGGGAGGCCGCCCCGCCGAGCCGCTGCCGCTCGGGAGCTGCTGACAGCCTGAGGGGGCAGCTGGCAGTCCCCGGAGGAGTTAGTCCTGGGCTGCTTCCCTGTCCTTGGCGGGAGGATCTTCCTGCGGACGTGTCTGGGAGTGCTGCCTGCTCGCTATTTAAGTTTAAGCTAGGAGTAACTTTCTGGGCAAGCACACTCGAAAATGCAGCAGTATGGGTAATGAACGGGAGTTACAAGAATGCTACATGGGTTTCACAGGCTGGTTCTAGGAAGGAAAACCTTAGTTTCAGCTAATACGCTGCTGGAAAAAAGGCAAAACCCTCTAAGCGTAACTTAAAGCACTAAGCCTCGTAAAGCTGCAATCTGAGCTCTGATGCATCTGGGGGGAGGTGGTGTGGATGTCTGTTTATGACAAACTTCACTTAAATGCTTGTGCTGTGACTTGCTGTGCAGAGACCTGGGAGGAATTAGTTTAAATATTCCTGATACCTTTTTGCTTTCTTAAACGTTAGGGACAAATGCATTATGTCCATGAGATATTCAGGTTTCCCATGGGGAGGCATTACTGGAGGACAAGGACAAGGAGCTGTTCAGTACCACAGTGCTGCCCCTTACATTTGCATCCTCTAAAAATAACTTCTATTGAGCAGGTGAAAAGACACGAAGATTTTTACAGGATAAATACGTGAGTCACGCTGTTGCTTTTTCTCCAGCTGTTGGGGAGACAGGAGAAGCAGAAGGGTTGAGGAGCAGGTAACTTCTAAATTGGCAGTGTCGTAGTGTTTTGGCAGAGGATACTAAGCATTGGAGCTGGGCTCTTGGCCACCTGCTCCTACAGTACTTTCTGATATGGATGCCAACTAAACTATCATGGTTGATACTGCTTGGAGAGTGTTGTCTCAAACAATCTCAATGCATTTTCATACTTTTGGGGCATAATAGATGAAAATACTCGTCTTCTTCGTGAGCTAATTGTTTTTAGATGCCTTACTGGTCTGCAGGGACTAATTGCTCTATTACGTGCATTACGTGCTAGTACTTTGTGTGACAAGGAGGATAGGTGGCCATCTATTTCCAATCTTTCCTATATGTAGTTGAAAAAAAAAATCTCTCTAAAAAGTTACTGACAAGGTAGATCATGGTATTTCAAGAGGAAATTCTGAAAATTATTTGTGATGCTTGCTGAGGGATGTTATGCTTGGTTTGGGGGTGTGAATTTAGGCATACTCTACTCAAAACATGATAAAATTAGGATTGTAGTTGTCCTTGTTGACTTTGCTTTGTGTTTAAAAATAGGCTATATGTTTTCAGAAAGCTGATGATATTGCATGCCCCCAGGAGCTCTACAAATTCAGTAACAGCATTAAGCCTCATAAAAGCCTGTGAAAGGATATTGTGACAGTCTTTGCTGAAGTTTCCCAAACTTCTAGTGAAATACCAGCTGACATCTCAAATGTAATTTGCAATACTGTCTGTGTTTGTTTTTGTAATGGGCTAGAAAGGAAAATTCCCTCTGTGTTTTCCTTGTGTTTGGGTAGAGGTGTTCATCTTCATTGTGGTTCTGTACAAATAGCACTTAAATATTTTGTAGTTCTATGTGGTAAATTCCTATTGTTCTATCTGTTTATTGTTGTGAAAGGATGCGAGCTTACCTATGGGTAATGAAAGAATAAATTAATTGGTGAATGTCATAGCATAAATGCTACTGATTTGCTCTTTGTTTCATTAGATATCTGTTTGGCATTGTCCATTAGATCAAAGTTGTCCTGTCACATAAATTAGATGAGTGAGAAGCTGTCATTCCTCAAGTTATAATCTCATTGTTACAGGTGGTGTTAGACATTTTTTTTGTTAGACTTTGTTGCTACAGTAAAACAATCCACCTCTACCTTTTTTTTTTTTGTCCCCAAATAAGCTACCTTAATTTACAGCAGCACATTACCTCTACATGATTAAAAATAATAATTAAAAAATCTTTCCTGTTGGAGTAGGCAAAAATGGCCTTTTAAATATTTTTTCATAGAAACTGAGCATTCCACATCTGGTTAGCGAATGAGTCCTGCTAAGGACTGTCTGTCTCCTGCTATGAAATGTTTTCAGATCACAGAGATTGGGGTAGAGAAGACTTAATTGTTTACACAACATGTATTGAAGTTTTTCTTCAGTTTATTGTAAGGCAATGACTTCTGAACTCTTGATAAAACTGATTTCCTGGCTTTACTTTTTTTATTAGAATATTAATTTAATTCAAGCTTTTACCAAGAAGGTAAGAGCTTTTTCTGTTTTAAGAGATTTTAATCAGCAATAATAATGTGTTCTGCTTTTATTATGTGTTACATTAGTCAGACATCAGTTTCTGGCTCCCTCTCTTATCTATCTCTTGCTGGTTTTTTTGTTCTATGAAGACTTAGGTTGAGCTCTCTGTTGTCATATTGCTTCTATAGACTTCTGCTGAGGCACCTTATTTTCTTCCATATCTATTTTTAGCTTTTTAGACCCTTAAATTTTGGTTGGAGTTGGGTGTTTTGTTTTGCATGACAAAGCTCCCACTAACTTAAAATTTGATTAGTATGATGTAAAAATTCAGAGTTTACTCAGTGAAACTAAAAAGCAGATGGGCTCTCACACAACATTCTATATTTTATGTCTTATTCATTTTTACCTCTATCAGTAAGCTGAGAGAATGACTTGCTAATGTTTATTCTGGAAAAGTACTTAGCTTTGATTTGATTAATCCAAAGGTAGATTCTTCACCTTTTCTCTTGTCAACTTGTTCTAATAGTTAATTATTGTAATTGTTTTTTAATTGTGCCCTATTTTGATATTTTTTTTCTTACCTTTAATTCTAACTTATTTTACAGCAAAAAGTGTTGCAAGAGCCAAAGTGTTGTCCAGTGATATGCATTTTTCTATGCTCATGAATTCTTCTGTTTTTTTAATGTTTGACTGAAGCTGTGGTTGTAGGTTGGTTCATCAGTGCTGTATGTAGAGGTATCATGAATTTTTTGCTTAACTGAAGACCATGTGAACTGCATGGATAAAACGTATTGCCCTGCTTCTCAGTGGTGGTTCCTAGATGGTTTTTTTGAAGTTACCATTTCTAGGGTGTGTTGTAGACCTGTTCTAGTTAATTTGACTATCCATCATTGTCTGTGTTACTACACATTGTTTGAAGTGTCTGCCATATTTGGGCTTAGTTTGTGTCTTGATCCATTCACATTTCTGTTTGTCGTTAATAGAATCTTTTTTGAGTTTCCCATTACTTTTTTCAAGATTGATGTCACGCTGTTTGGCTTGGCCTTTTTTCTTAATGCCTAAAAAATTATCATCATTGACCTGCATCTCTTTGTAGCCAGCTTCAGGCTCAGAGTGCAGAATTACCTGGGCTTGCTGGTTTTACATTGTTTATTAATCTTTTTGGCTAGAGATTGTCTGTAGAAGTATGCAGAAGATTCAACTCCTCTGCATGTGAGATGAAGCTTTCCTGTAGATAACTGCTACTTCCAATATCTCCTGCCTTCTGTTACTCATCAAACTGAAATGACCTTGCCCTTGGGGCTTGCTCCTTAAGCTCTCTTCTAAGAAGTGTGTGATGCTGCTGTTCTCCCCTTAGGTATGCTAATCAGCAGTTTGCCTGAGGACTTCATAATACTTCTGAATAGAGGCTTTTTGATTTGGGGTTTGGTTTTTTTTTTTTTTTGATAAAGTCATGCGTTCTGTCTCTAGAAACTGTTCTGTTATCCTTTTCCTTCTGTAGGCACAGAAAATGTGTGTGCACATGATGTACATTAAGTGTTTGTCTTCCACCTTTTCTTTCATTTCTTAAAAGGCTGATTTTTTTAGAAGTTGAGTAACCAAATGGCAGATAAAAGATTCAGTACAACAAACTTGGTTTAATGTTTGTTCATCTTTCCCTTTGGATAGTAACTGATAATTAGTCTTCACCTCTGTTATTTCAGTTTAAATGGTAGCTTGTTACCTATATGCCTTCCTTCTAAGTTTTCATGTAAAATTTTCTCTAGTCAGGCCTTTTTAAGTGAGGTGGTGGATTCAGTGTTAGGTGAGCTTTCTGTTTAGAGAAATCTGCCGAAGAGGTTGATCTGTACTATTCTGAGTAGTATTGAACACTACTGCCTGCCTTGCTCAGGGCTATATTATGTGTGGATAATAAAGAACTTTATTCTGAAAGCAGTCTTATTCAATATCTTTAATATGTTTTGTATCTGAAATAGTGAGCTTATGGGCAAGTTCAGATGTGCCTGTTCTATTCTTGGGTTGAATGTGTACTGAAAATGGTGCTCATAAGAGATGTGGGCAATGCTAGGTAAAATTATCATAAAAGTTGAAATTATTTATTCAGTTTCTTAGATGCCTGTTCACATCTATGGTACTTAAGTTGCAAAATCAGTTGGACATTTTTGGAAGTATTTGCTGTTATGTTAGAGGTGATCTGAAAGTGCTGTGAAAGACTCTGTGATGCTTTTTCAAGATAGAGGGAGAGACACTTTATATCTTGATCAAAGTCAGATTGGCTACTTGTATTCTGCCAGTTGCTTAAGAATACAAGCCATAGAAGAGACCCTCTTTAAGGAATGCTGAAGCTTACCTAAACAAAATACAGCCAAATTATAACAGAAAAAATGGCTTTGTTCAGAACTAATCCTTAAACTTTTAAAAAGAGAAAGTATTTCAGGAGTAAGATGAGAGGATCCTTGGGAGAAAAACTGAAATCTTAGAAGCAAACACTTCTCAACCCCTGAATTCCAACCTGATGGAATTAAAAGGATAGGTGTGCTTGCAAAGAATGACTCTTTTGAAAAACTGTACTGTTATTTGAGCTAAAGTTCTTAAATATTACAGCTTAGTTCTTCAAAATTTTTGTCTAACAATGTATTTTGACTTAGCTTAATTTAATGTGCTTATTGGCTCCTTGCTGTTGGTCCTTAATGTTGTGTTAACTATATTAATGTATCTCAAGGCTGTTCACATCATTTTCCAACTTCTAGTTCAGAAACGTTGTTTTGCTATTTGATGGTTTTGCTGCTTTTTGCTAAGACAGAAAATTAAATGTTAAAAATAGAGATGATCAATTTTCACTTGGAAAACAGAAGGGAGGATTCTCTGTGAATGTGAGTGGAGCAGGTACCTCCTTGTTGTGAAACAGACCTAGGAGAGCTACCTTTGGGTGTGCAGTTTCCTGCACTTCTGCTTTCCTGGAAGTGATTCTGCGTCAGTAAAGAGTAGGAGACACTGTGAGATTTTACTTAATTGTATGCAGTCATAGTTGTGAGTATCTCTCTTTTTTTCAGTTTCTTTGGGAGAGGAACAGGGAAGAAGCTTTTGTTCTAGACTCAGCCATAAATGGTTATAGGAGCTTATATTACATTGAAGTGAATGTTAAACAAATTTTGCGAAGTAGAATCTTTTCATATTGCGCTCTGCCTTGCTTGTAGGTATGCGATCTTTGTTTCTGTGAATTTTATTCTCTTTGTTTTAAGCTTATGTGCTGCCAGTTGACTAAGCTTGGCCTTTCTTAGACTATACCAAGTGTTACTATGGGGACATTATTCTTGATGGGCATAGACTGTGCCTAGAACTTTGCTATTTTTATAATTATGAAACCATTTGGAGGAATGTAGCATATGATAGGATTGCCTCAGCATCCTTTCCAGTTCAGATACAAAATGATCCATTTAATAGAACTCTTAGATTTCAAGAACTTGCCAGACAAAAAAAGGCTGAGGCCATATTATGTGTGAGGAAGGTCTTTTTAAAAGTGATATTTTTAGGTCTGCAAGACTTGTTCTTGTGGCTTCTTTTCCCCAAACATTTTCTTTCTGTCAGTTTCTGTATTTCAGCTTTGTCTAGGTCTGCTCCAATTTCTCCTTCCTTTCCCTGTAGTCCTCTTAATTCTGCAGGTTTTTTCCCCAAATACTTTCTCAGTGAAAGTTATGGAATTAATAAGATATTCCTTCTAAGTTTGTAACCTTCCCTTTGCTCATGTGCCTGCATGCTCTCAGCAGCAGTTAGTGTATGAAGTCCTGGTACTATAGGTAGTTGGTATACAGCTGTTTATACAAGGACCAGAAGAGTGCATCTTTTTCTTGTATAATCATTAGATGCTACTCTAGCAAGAGTGTTTAAATGGTCATTGCTCACTTTTGAAGTTTTATCTCAGACTCATTATCATTGTGTTCTTCTTTTAGAAAGAAAGAACTTTCAACTACCAAGAAAGATCGAGTGAATCATTGCCTAACAATATGTGAAAACATAGTTGCTCAGTCTTTAAGGTAAGACAATGTCTTTAATTTATTGCATTAATATGAATAGCTACTTTGGAGTGTTAGTTATTTGGAGGCTTCCTGATATTTGCTGATTTCAAATGCTCAACTTCTGTTTAAAACTGAAGTGGCACAATTTTTTATTTTTTTTTAACGACGCCAGATCTAAGAAGTAATTTTGTTTAAGCACTGGTAGAGTAGGCATTATCTTTCTAACTCAGACAGAGAAACTGAGGCACTGAGGTCAAATACCTTGCCAGGAAGGAGCAGGGAAATGATCTCCCAACTCCTAATGGAGTGCTTTAATCCACTGAATGTCTTCTCCTATTGTGTAACTGGGTATAATATATGTGTAGTTAGATTAGGAAACCCCCTCAAAAATAGCATTGGTGTTTGCTTTTTGTAGTGCGCATTGTAATTTTCTAATTTTTTTTTATTTAGAAATTCTCCAGAATTTCAGAAGCTGCTGGGGATTGCTATGGAACTCTTTCTCCTCTGCAGTGAGGATGCAGAATCTGATGTCCGGATGGTTGCTGATGAATGCCTTAATAAAGTTATTAAAGTAAGAACTTTCATGTACTGTGCTACCAGATTTTACCTCCTTTTGATGCAGTATCCTGTATGAATTCACACTGATGTTCTTTTAGTTGCTTTTCTTATTGTTGATAATATCTCATAATGTAAGAGGTTAAGTAAGCTTCTTTACTGTATGTGCTCTTAGGAGAGCTTTTTATGCCTTCTTTTTATGTCTTCTGTCATTCATCGTTCTAATCTTTTCTTCAGTCATTCATTAACTTTGTTCTCTTCAAACAAGAACATGGGCTTTTCTAAAATCATCTTGTGTGGGAGGAATACTCGCTCTATTATTGTTCTGTAAACATAAAGATACTTAACATGAGGAAAGGTAAAAATATTATTAAAAAGCTGACTGAAAGACTTAATGGCTTTTCATTCCAAACTAGTAGTATGCTGTAATTCAGGTAGTGTGATTTGCTGAGACTTGGAAGAAGAGCTTTTAGGCAATAATTGGGATAAAGATGGTGTTCTGGAGTTTATTACCCTACTGTGATCCAGAAAGAAGGGCTTGTTGGAGAACAGCAGGCGGGCATTCATATGAGGTCAGGCAAGGTCTAAATCTTGATTTGATGTATATTAAAATGAACCTTTTGAGTAATTGCTGTGAGCTGCTGCTTTCAGCACAGGTTTACCTTCACCTGCCCGTTCTTGTTTCTTTCCTATTTTCTGAAATACTTGGCCTTTGAGTCAATGTAATGTACCTACATAATCTAGTTGATGCACAGTTTAATTGCTTTAGAAATACGGAAATAATTTTCTTTACTGTGAAGGGGTGTGTAGAAGCAAGCAAATAAAACATCCCTATTTCTGTAGGGATTTCTCTCAGGTAAGTTCTATTTGGTATCCGAATGAGTTAAGTTTTGGGGGTTCTGCTTATGGCTGAAAGTTGTATGGAGAAAGCTTACTGATTATGTAGTGTATTCCATAATGATAAGGAATGAGGAAGTGCGTCTTCTTGCATTGTTTTTGTTTTGCCCTGTAGCACTTTGCTCTGTTCATTCCAATTTAAATGTTTTTCTGTTTGCAGGAGTTTAGGACTCTATGAAATGCATACACCATTGTGTAACTTAATTTGCTTTAAATGATACTCTGAAACAGTTCTAAAGAATGAAAACTTACTACTTCTTTCCACCAAACTCTTCTGTAGGCTTGGTATAAAATTGACCTCTTTAATTCACCAATCTATTTAATATTGTTGCCTTCTGGCATGTGTCAAGATAACTTGAAAAACTTTAATTTTTTTCAAATCGTTGTATGGTAGTTTGTTTTGTTTTAAAGATTAAAGTGGTTTTAAATGATGGAGTCTTCTATCAGTCATTAAGCTTGCTGGTCACAGCTGTGAAATAGTTGTGATATTCCAACCACATGGAAGTATCAGACTGTTATCGAAGCTGGTCATAGTTTATATTTTGTTTCTATATTTTATGCTATGTGGAAGCAACTTAGTCTTTAGGTAGATGCTCTCTCGTGTATAAATGCAGAGACAAAAAGATGTGCAGTTTTATTTTTGGTTGTGCAAGTAGCAGTGATGCTTGTGGTGAGTGTAACGGAGGCGTCAGGCCCCTAAGCTTGCATATTAGTCAACGTTCAGCTTTTCTAGTACCTCAGGCATTTTAGAGATTAACTCTGTTGCTAGAAAGATGCTTTATGCTTTCTGTCTTTCAATATAGGAATATAGATGTAAGCATTACTTGTGTAACTGTGTGTCTGTCTGGAGTTTATGCTCATTAGTATAATTAAAACGCTAACGCCTCTGTGTAGAAAAGGCTGTAAGTTGAAACAGCAAATAAGTTTATCTAAATACTGTAGGTCATCTTTAAGTATCGCTACACTTACCTGTCAGAACCTCACAGACAGCATAAACGGCTCAAAGTTTAAATAGCTTTGGTGATAACCTTTATTTAAAAGAAAAAAATACCAAGTTGGGAGTTACCAGGTTTCTGTGGGTAAGGTGTTACTGAAGCTGTCTTGTTTCTGAAGCTGATGCATGATGTTGTAGTATTCTCTGTGCTAATGATAGTGGTGGGACTGTTCACGCAGATTGGAGTACAGTTGGTCCCAGTAATTGGGATTTATTATTTGTAGTAATTTAGAGTTGACTATGCTTATGACTTTTTCTGTTTGGGATGACTTTTTAGATTCTAGCCTGCTAAAAATACAGGTATACACTAGTAAAAAGAGTTGCTCCAGTTGCGTGTGTTTTAAGGACAACTTACCCGTGAAGCCACATAGTGGCTGGTGCCTTTTTGTGTTGCTTGATAACCTTATATACAGGGACAATGAACTTCCTATAAAAACGAAATTTTGTGAAGTGAGATTTATCCCTAGCTACCCTCATCTAGGCACCTGCAGTTAATAGTTGGGGTGCTTATGACAATATAAAGATACAAGCCGGACAAGATTTTTCAGGAGAAGGTAGTAATACTATTTTATTATAATGACTGGTATAATTGGGGAGAATGAAGTTTTGGGGCATACAATTTTAGGCTAGGGGAATCGTGCTCTGGAGGAGCCACAGACACTTCACTGACCATCCCTAAGCAGTTGTGGCCTCTATATCAGCATGTGCCATGTAAGATTTTTGTAGTCATCGTGAGTAATCCTGTGAAGATGTGAGCTTAGTGGTTGGTGGTCAAGTAGGCAGATAGAAAATCAGAAATTATTGAATTATTGGTCAAGGAATAAAGAATGAAATACTAAACATTTTAGCACTGTATAAATCCACAATGCAGACACTTGCACACTGTATGAAGCTCTCATTTCATCTGAGGAAGTGCTGGTGGAAATGTTCATAAATAGTAGTATGCACTAGGGGGGAAAAAAAAAAGGGAAGAGAAAGGGTAATCGTATGTGTACAAAATATTCCGTAGGAAGAGATTATATATAGTGGAACTATTTTAATATTTTTTTCTTCTGCTATTTTAAAGATGGAGGGAGATGATTGAGTTGAGGTGAATAGAAAATTACTGCTTCTCGTTGCTTACTTATATGTACTCTAGTTCTTAGCCAGACTGCAGGTTCAGACTACAATATATGCTCTGTCGCAGTATGCTTGATTAGATCCTGGGATGCGATACTTCTGGTGTCCAGAACACCTTGTGGTAATAAATGGATGCAGAAAATAGACTGATTCATGAAAGAAGGAGGTTTCAAGGGCTATTAAAGGTGTGGGAAAAATACAACCTCAGTTTGAGAAATAGTAGGAGGCTGCTTGATGGTGGGGAATACCTCTCACTGCTTCTGAATACTATTTTTGTGTTCTAATATTCTATTCATGAGTATCTATTCCTGGCAATTGCCAGGAAGCATGTTAGGTTGGCTCTGCTTGTAGTCTGATCCCATCTGGCCTTTTTTAGGTAGAATGGGTAAAGCAGTCAATATTAACTGCAAATAACTGTTAGAGTTTGTGGAATTTGTCTGTGTTTCTGTTTTGTGTTTGTGTGAAAGATAAAGGTGTCTCTCTTCACTATTTAGCACTTTCCTGTTATACATCAAATATATAGGGGCAGTTGGATAGTTCTGTGCCTTTTTTGAAGTGGTTTTATTGCACGTGTAACATTGTTCCTGTCAAGTGCCTCCCCTCTGACACCGTATGTTCTCAATGCATTTTATTGCAGGCTTTGATGGATTCCAATCTTCCTAGGTTACAACTAGAACTGTATAAAGAGATTAAAAAGGTGAGTTTTTCTTTCACGTCCTTTTGAAATATGGTATTTAGTAAGTGCTTTAGTATATTGGAATGTGGCATTAGTGTAAATAAATAGTGTTATGTCTTTCAAGATCAAGGTCAAAGCTTCACTTTGGAAGTATTTGTGACTGTTTAATGTATTATTCTACCCAGTTCCTCACTATTGGCCCCACTGTTTAGATTTAACCACTCCTGAAAGCTTATCTGGCAGAAAATGTGTGAGCATTTGGTGTGAACAGCAGTCTTAAGTTACCCTTAGCGACTCTGCACCCAAACGAATAAGGCATATTCATGATGTTTGCTACAGTGACTGAGCTGGAAAGAATAACTTCAAGCAAAAGGGTGGTGAAAAGTAGGTGGAGGACAGTGACATTCTTAATTTGACATAAGTATTGGAGGAATCATTTGATCAAGACGTGAAGTGACCCAATAAAAGTTGTAACTACTTTGTGGCTGTCTGATGTGATGCTTCTGTAAGAAGCATAAGTAAAAATACTGAAGTGTCTCTTTTTGCACCAAAAGTCACAATTTAGTTATGTCCACGGGAAGAATTTTAGTAATAGCCTTTTTGAAGTACATGATTATGAAAGAAAAATGCTGTTTTCAGGACAGTATCACTGAAATCATGTCTCTTGCATCTATAAACATATAGCAAGGCTTGTATAGAGAGAAAATATAGGTGTTATTTGTCAGACAGTAATGCTATTTGTTCTATTTCTTTGGGAATGATGGAACTCTAGAAAATAAATAACAAAAGCAATGTGGATAGCTTTTCTTCTGTCAGATGTGGACTACTTGTAGGCCCTGTATGAACATCTTACTGTATTGTTGTACCTTAATGTCATGCAAAATTTTGGGGGGTATAGAAATGGACATCTAGCTAATTAACAAAAAACAGCCAACATAAAGAAAAACTGCTCTGAAGTTTCTGCACATTATGACCAGGTGCAGGAGGAAATATTTTGTTGTTCAGGTGGCATGTTCTTCTTGAATAGTTGCTCTGAGATTCATGGTAGAGGCAAGAGAGAGAGGTAGCAGGCATAACAGAAACACCCAGCACACTGAATTTTGTTTGTGCATCAGTTGGATCACTTTAGGAGCCATGCCAGAATATGTTGTTTGGCTCTGAACCTGAAAAATGCACATTTTGTAATTCAGATGCAAGTTTTTTTTTACTTGTCATGCTAACAAGACCATGAGCCTTTGATATACTAGCTAAAGAAAATAAGAAAGAAATGACAGTTTCTAAACATCTCAACTCTGTCTTCAGAGGGACTTGATTTAAAAAGCATTTGGTTAGGTTCAAACTACATTAGGTACACAATTTCTGCTAGACATCTATTGACTTCCATAGTTTTCTGTATTTCCAACAATACTGAGGAGCTTTACTATATCCTTAGACACTAGGTCTAAATGCATTCTGGGTCAAGTTAGGTGCACAACTGAAGGTGTCAACACAGACAAATAGATATTAAACTTCAGGATGCAAGCCAGTATGAAGTGATACAGATCAATATGTGGATTTTTTCTTTGGTATGCTCAGGAGCTGAACATTATTTATTTGCATATCTCCACTGCTGTCAATTTTATGCTGCATTTATATCTCTGCAAGTGTTCCAGTGATTTTTTAGACTCTCATATCATCAGTGTTTCTTTGTTGGTTGATGCCTTTCTCTGTGGTATTTTAAGCTGATTTCAGCAGAGTGGAGATCTCAGACATTTCCTTCTCTTTCTTGGCGTTCCTTATTATTCATTTTGGGTCACTTGGAAAATTCCTGATACCAGACAGAAAAACGAAGGCAGTCATGGAGCTGACATGACTTCCTTTTGGCTGAAGGAAATTTATGGCTTCCAGACACCTTACATTTTTATCTGTTTAAGTAAAATGGTATAAAACTGTATACTGTTGTATATTATAGGTATTTTTTTAGGAAATTATTTTGCTTGATGAAATGTAACAATTGCATACTCTGTCTAGAATGGTGCTTCCAGAAGTCTACGTGCTGCACTCTGGAGGTTTGCTGAACTTGCCCATCTTGTTCGGCCTCAAAAGTGCAGGTAAACACATCCTAGTAATGAACTTTCCAAAGAACATTTAAAAAAATACAGATGTTAACAAAATGTTACTGTTCTCAAGTTTTAAATATATAATTGGGAAGTTGGAAGAATTCCTGTCACATTATTATCTCTGAAGTAGCTTTATTTGATTAGCTGGTTATCTTTTAGCAGAGTTTTAGTTCTGTGCTGTACAGGACTCTGGGGAAAGGGGGGAAAAACTTGTGAAGACAATGACTTTTATTTTTTTTAAGTGTATTCTTCTCTTTAGTTGTATCTTAATGTCTGCAAATTGTATTCAGAAGGCTGTTGGGTTTTTTTCTACATTCTGTGTAGGTAACAGGTACATTTTTTTATGATTTAGTAATACCACAGAATTTGAGTATGAATTAAAAATGTTTAGATGGGTATGGTTTTTCTGATCTCAAATTAGTTTTTCTCCTTTGCCATACTTAGGCCATACTTAGTGAACCTTTTGCCCTGTCTAACACGAATAAGTAAGAGACCCGAAGAATCAGTACAAGAGACGCTAGCTGCAGCAATACCAAAAATTATGGCAGCGTTTGGCAATTTTGCAAACGACAATGAGATTAAGGTATCTTTCTTTAACTATTAGTGCTCCCTATTATATCTCTAAGCACAGTAAGCTATCAGCATTATCAATCAGATGTTACAGAAAGCAGTGTTAACAGCTGCATGTCTGAAGGCAAAAGTTGCCCTTGCTTGATGTATGTTAAGTAATGCTTTGAATGAATGAAAAATAAATTTGCTGACTACTTAATTCACTTCTGTCTCCTTTTCCTTCTCGTAAAAAGTTAAGTAAGATATCTTTGTTTTTAGGTTTTATTGAAGGCTTTCATAGCTAATCTTAAATCCAGTTCCCCTACTATCCGTCGAACAGCAGCAGGATCAGCAGTAAGCATCTGTCAACATTCGCGAAGAATGCAGTATTTTTATGCCTGGTTATTGAATGTACTTTTAGGTAAGATTCAGGAAGAAAAATTAAATTTGCTTTAGGTATAAGTGACATGAATTTTTTTTCTTTCCACGTAAGACACTTTTCGTATGTGAGAGGTTTTCAGGCAAAGCAAGGATACTTAGACTACCACTTACACTGCTAATGCCTTCTTTATTTTGTCTTAAGTTAGGTGAAGATATGACTAAAGCTATCTGTATCTCTGTGGTGCAGTGCTAATGCAGAATGCAGTAATGTTGAAAAGAATCAGCCAAAGCTAAGGAAGCAAGTAGCTTGTTGGAAAGTGAGGAGGTCTAGGGATTCTGGAAAAACTTGCTCAGGAGTCTGTGAAGCCTTGCATTGTTCAGCAGCTTGGTTGTTAGTGCAGCAGGTCTGAGGTGGAGGATGTGATTGTTATTCTGTGGGTCATGAACACACACATACCCTGTAGCTTGTTTTTAGAAGTGCCACTATGTAGATTCTTTGTTGAAAACCTAACTTAGACCAGAAATGGAATTTTTTTTATCCATAAGCACACAACTTTGCATGAAGAATTGCTTCTGTATTTCTTCAGCTGGGAAGTTTTAATGGTCTTCAGAATGTTTTGCAACTCACGATGAGATGCTTGTCTGGATTGTAGTGGAAACTTTTGCCTCAGTTTTGTTACTGATGAAGGGTTCTTTACTGTGTAGACTATATTGCAAAAGGAGAGGCAAGAAAGACCCAACAGATACATAAAGCATTATTGTGTTAGCCTTGCTTCTTTAAAGAATGGGTGAAAAATTCAAATGCCACGTAGTGACTTTCCTGACTCTGTGTGACTTGAAAATGGTGTACTGTGCACACATTGTTCTTTCCTGCCTCAAAGGTGATGTTTCATAACGTCCTGGCAATGGTACTGAATTCAGACAGGGGCGCTAAATAGAAACACCATTAATTAATTCTGATTTCCCTTTCCCCCCGCCACCCCAGATAGAAGGTTGTGGTTTTTTTACATAACTTATATTTGTTCTTAATATATTTTGTGTTTGAGTCTGTGATTAGCAGGTAAGTGTATGGAACAAGGTTCCCAATACTTGAGGGAGGAGGCAGAAGTGTAGATGTTATTCATTAGGATAGTAGTGCGTGTGTCTGTGAGGGAATTATGTTTGGCATTAATTAAACTGCCAGGTGGAGAGAGGAGGCAGGTGAGGAGTGCAAGAGAATGTAGATCACTTGGTGAAAGCATCGGGTATTATGAAAAAAATTTTTCTGTGTTTTTATTGAGTGAAATGTGGTAGGGAACAGGGAAGGTGAGACAGGGTCCTCTGACCATTCTCCCACATTGCTTAAATCATTGTCAGGAATATTAAATAATGCATATTTTCAAATGTTTCTACATTTAGAATGCATTCTTAAGTTGCTGCTAGGTTGTTTGTTTTAAAGAAGCTATTATATGGACTATGTGAAATAACATTTGTTTTGAAACTAACCACTGTCAATAAGTGAATTGGCTGCTTTTCTACCCCCAGGCTTGTTGGTTCCTGTAGAAGATGATCATCCTACTCTCTTAATTCTGGGTGTTTTACTTACACTAAGGTACCTCATACCTTTATTGCAACAACAAGTAAAGGATACCAGCCTGAAAGGGAGTTTTGGTGTAACAAGAAAAGAAACAGAGATTTTGCCTTCACCAGAACAACTTATACAGGTAAAATATGAATAATAATCCTACCCTGAAAAGTACAGTAGGAAAGGAAGGAAATAGAAAGGAATTTTCTTCCTTTCTAGGAAGAAGATAGGAAGGAAAAGAAATAAATCTTCTATATAGTATGATACAGCACTAGTTTGATGTTGAACATCTGAATTCTTTTCTCAAATTCCTGTTCATCTTGGTAAATGAAAGGTGGTCCAGTGACTGGAATTATTGATAAATAATGACCAGAAATCCCAGAAAAATGCATCAGCAGTACTTGTTAGTTGTTCCCAAAGGAGCTAAAGAACTTCATAATCATTATGGTGTTCTCTGATATGATTCCTCCTTCTATAACAATAAACAGAAACAACAGACTTCTACCAAAAAGGCAGTTGATTGGCTACAATTAATTGGCATTTTCCCTTTGAAAGAGTGTGGTGAATATTAGATATAGCAAATGTCAGTCATTTTTAATGTACCACTGAAATTTAATGTGGTATTTGAGAAGAAATGTAGTATGTTGTGTCTTCACAGAGACTTACTCCAGTACTTTGTTGGGTTTTAGGTTTATGAATTGACTCTGCATTACACCCAGCATCAGGACCATAATGTTGTGACTGGAGCTTTAGAATTATTACAACAGCTCTTTAGAACGCCACCACCTGAACTTCTCCATGCTCTGACTGCTTCAGGTGGCATTGCACAGGTCAGTGTATCCAAAGATGAATCAGCCAGCAGGAACCGCAGTGGGAGCATAGTGGAACTTATAGGTAAGCTATATTTTTGGCACTTCAAGTAAAAGGAGATGACCATACATCACCAGCTGTATTTCTCAGTGTTAGCCAAAAGTATGAAGGATAAAATGAAATGTATAAAGTTATGCATGGCTCCCCCCCCCCCCCCCCACAAATAA